ACGAGTAGGTGGCCGCGCCTGGCGGCAGTGCAGTGCCAGGCCGACCGCGGCGGGGGAGGCGCGAGCACCGGGGCCCCCGCCCTCGTCCAAAAATCAGTTTAATTTTCCGACCCCTCGGTGAGGGGTGTATCAGAAATTAAGCTGATAAGAACAGATACTACACTTTGATCTTAGCTCAGGGAGCCGAGAAGCGATACTGTACACTGTTTTAAACGTATTACTTATAGTCTGTAACGTATCAGTTCACTTGCGAGAACGATGCGCGCCGTAGCGGTGTGACTCGATACTAGCGGCCAATTTCGACTCTTTTCACGATGTGGCGCCATTATTTAAATGGTTAATTCATTTGGAGATATACTCGCGTTCTTCTATCCCTTTCATACACTTAACAATATCTATTATTTGTTAGTGAATGTATAAATAGTTTAAATAAATAAAGACAGGATTGCAAATACGCTATTGTCGTGATTTTCAGAACGGGTTATGGACAGAAATTCATGGTAATATGGTACAGTAATGACATATCCTAGTGTACAAACATAACTGTATTGCTTCATTATTATTTTATCATGTACACAATGATACATAAGCATCGTAAGCCTGGTTGTATACGAAACATTCAGTCTTACTCGTTATGGAAACGACATGGAATATTAATGCTCTTTACATTACAGGCGATGGCTTTCAATACATGAACATCTGATTACAAGTAATGAAAACAATTTCTTTTTGATGAAGTTATTGCTGCATAACGAACATTACTTAACGACGAACTATTGCAAATAACATATAATGTATTTTCTAACGGTTGGAAGTTATTCGGAGAGAGAAATTTTACAAATGAGGACACAAATAAATAAAGAAGAAACGACGAAGTCCAAAAGGTCTCTATATTAAAGAAACGTAAATCAATAAGTAAACGAAATTAATAAAAAATGCGCAAATTATAAATCGAACGAAAAGAGACAGAGACAAATACATAAACGAACTTAAAAGAGTAAACGAAAATAGTGGCGTCACGACGCCACTATTTTCTCTTTACTCTTTTAAGTTCGTTTATGTATTTGTCTCTGTCTCTTTTCGTTCGATTTATAATTTGCGCATTTTTTATTAATTTCGTTTACTTATTGATTTACGTTTCTTTAATATAGAGACCTTTTGGACTTCGTCGTTTCTTCTTTATTTATTTGTGTCCTCATTTGTAAAATTTCTCTCTCCGAATAACTTCCAACCGTTACAATTTTCTCGGAGATTTTCTCTTTTTCTTTATTTGCGAGTCTTTTTTCCTCCACAGTGTTCACAAAGCGTGTGGTTAAATTTACAGGTTGTTACATAGGCACTTGAACGCAACTAAAGTTTTGGAATCCTGACTGGAATACCTGTGCGTTAAAATTTTACAAAAATCTTATTCTTTGTCCTGCAGGCTGTAATGACACTAAAAAATACATATGGCATTATATACAAAACTTCAAATTTTCATCTACAAAAATGACACGTGATCAACTAACTTCGATTATGCAAATTGATCAGTAAATCTTACCTTCTTTTTATATTTCTAAAATTAATATAAGATGTTCTTCGAATAAGATTCATGTGTCACTTGGATAATATTTTTGGGTAAGTAACAGTTACCATAGAAATCTTTTGATAAGTAAGCCACTGTAGTGGCGTTTCGTAACTACAGGGTTGATAATGGGTATAAAACATAACGCTTTAAAAACATTCTCCTTGTTTATACATTTATTTTTACAAAGGAGAATATTCAGGTAATTACATTGACACAAATTGGATTCAAAACGAAAAGATTCTATTCAAGTCACTTCGGGACTACGGTTTCACTGCAATAATCAACATTACCCAATGGGATTTTTATATGCTTCGACCTTCCGTAATTGCATATTTTAAATAAAGCGATTCGAGGCTTTAAGCTATGAATACAATAATGAACTGCTCTATCCATTAACATTTATCGCAATATTTCAATTTACCTTGTTTCAAAACAATTAAATTACTACATCTTCAATTTTTTTACAAGTGACATAGCAGTTATTGACGAATACATATTAACTACAGCAAAGACGTTTCAGCCGAGTAATTTCCATATCCGTTTTTCACTACATCAATTAGGACTACTTCAACATTCGACAAAAAATCTCATTCATATTACTTATCAAATCACTATGTAGCAATAAAGGCTTAACACGCAGAGCGCAGAACCGATTTTGATGAGCTTTCCGTTTAGGCGGCACAATTTTTTATATATAGGATTCTTGACGCCGTGTCAATCCCCAGGGACTGACGCCGCTTAAACGGAAAGTTCACTGTCAGTCCCTAGGGACTGACGCAGCACTCAACGTGTTAATAGATCAGAATTTTATGAGTTCGTTACAGTTTAAATTAATGATGTCTTCACGCAGTACAAATACTTCAAATGTCTACACCCGTCATTTTAACAAAGTATTTTTCAATGTTATTATTACGTATGTTTTATACATTTCGTTAAAGTGTCTTAGTAGACTGCAAGAGATATTACCTGCACAAGCCAGTTGTCTTAAAGATGATAAAATGTCTACGTGATTGTGGATGAATTAAAATACTAATAGCACTAACAAGTCTATCAAGGAACTGAATTACATACTGCTTCGTTACACCGAACCTTACATGAATTGCATGATTAGAAATAACTAAATATGCTCACTTGCTGTTACGTTATATCTTCATTTTTATTCAAACTCTTACGTAATGGGTAGGATAAATACATACTTGTTACAATACGGAAATATACAGCAAAAGAATGGATTTAATAAATCCATTTCTACCTTCACAAATTATAGTACTCTTGAATCGTTCAATGTTTTGCAAGTTCATTTTTAAGCTAGGCATTACCAAATTCAAGAGAAACATGGCAGCAACGTATTCCATTGCAATACTCGCGCTAGTGCCGTTGAAAATAACGTCCAAAGAAGCATATAGGTCTCCCATAATAGAGTACCGAGGAAATAATTTAAATTACAATCATATGAAACATCACGCAAAAAGACCTCTACGATGCTATTTACGGCACTTATACTTTAACGGTGGCATCATTTCTTGTAATTTTTATAATTATTTAATATTATTATTAGTACTTTAAATATAACGAAAACGACTTCGTGACCTTAAAATACTTTCTCTTAACCGTTACAATAACATTTTTGTATATTTACCTCTTTATAGAATTATAATAACAGTATGTTCATAAGTATGTTACACAATACAAGACACCGATTCCGTGCACAGCCAAATAAGTGTAGATTTAACAATATTCAGTTTCTCGATGCTTCATGACACCTTAAAATTAACCATTATAATGATATAAAGTGTTAAATAATGATAATTTATTATTGTTGCGAAATTTTTGTCCTAATAGAAAGCATATCTAAATATGAGCTGTAAGGAGGACGATATATGTATCAACTGTGGCCGTAAGGTATTGGATATTATATCAGACTTAAAGTTGTATTTATAAAAGATAATCTCCCATTTACTATAGCTTCTGATTTTAAGTTGTCTCTCATTTACCCTATACGCAAATTCCTGCAAAAATTGTTCAATTTTAGATCATTATTTCATAATTGAATCTGTACGCCCTCGCACATCTATCCGACGTACTAGAGACAACCGAGAGTCTAGGGAATTGGAGTGATTCCCCATGGTTCATACGCGTACATTACATTGCATTAATGAATTTATGAGCTCATTACGATTCACAAGAAAGAAGACAAGATATCCGCTTACGAGTCACAAGTTGTGAAAAATATCTAATACCAAAGTAGCTACCGGCAGTGGCTCCACATAAAATCACCTCAGTGCCACTTCCAAAGGAAATTCAATTCCTACGCGCTTTAAGACTTGCATATTTAATCGATTAATAATTCATTAAAATTCACGAGGAAAGGTACGAGACATATCGAACTACGATTCGCAGGCCTGCGTAAATATCTGACACCAAACCGGACAGTGGCTGGAAGCGGAACCACCCCAGTGCCAACCCTGAGGTATTCCAAGGTGCTTCAAACCTTGTCGAACGATTCCGGCGATTCCCGTATTTAACAATTCTTCGGAACCCTTGCCCCATAAGATATTATCTCTATAGAAGAATTTGTCTGATTCCACAGCCGTGTTACGTTCGTGCAACACTTCATTCACGAAAACGGAGTTGTCCAGGAGCGTAAAATCCCCCAATAAAATAGAGTTCTTGGCCTCAGAAAAACCCTCTATTATCTTATTGTCGTCCACGTTGTGTACTCGCACGTTAATTATCGTTACATCAAATCTATTAATCTGAAAAATGAAAATCAGAAGGTTAGCCATTAGTTCTGAGCAATAACGCAAAAATCATCGAATTGATAGCAACGATAAGGCTCTTTGCGGGTTAGTACCGCGTTAACTTATTCCCTTCATTTCAAAATTACTACAAACGTCAAAATCCAATGCGTATTTGCTGCATTCCTCCATGAAAATGCACCGACGTTCTCAAACGCTACCAGCATTCTTAAACGCTTTACGCTAGTTTAATGATAATCATAATTGTCTATAACTTATAATAGTGATTTGCATAATCTAATAACAGAAATACGAACATGGAAAACAGCAGAGGCGACCACGGGTAGTAACACAGTGGTTTCAGGTGGTTGTTCTCGAAGACTGATGTCCAACTTGGGATCAGCATCCCAGAGAAGTGCAAGTCCCGCGCCTAGATGAAGAGATTTCCAAACGCGTTGGTTTCCACGCCAATCTCGAACCCTTTTCAAGACTGGCGAATTTAGTTCTCCCGTTAGCTTGTCCAAAGCTTCCGGGCTTTCCACTTCTTGTAAGCTAAGCAATGACAATCTAAAATAAGACAATATAAAATATCCTTAAAATTCAAATAACGAAAGTACTACGGATACTACGAGGATCCTGGAAATACTACGGTTCCGGAGCGCCGAGATTTGACAATTATTTCTTATGATTTTTTCCATGAAAAACACGATCATGGATTATTGCCGGACGACTATAGTAATCTGTGTAGGTTAGGTTAGTAATTTGGTGGAGCCTGAGGGACGTAGCCTCCAGCCACGCGTTTAAAACCAGCCTGTATCTTGTTCCAGTAGTGCGAAAGATATTTCATATATTAGTTAATGTTGGGACGGAAAGCAACCGTGACCCACAATTCCGAACTTAAATTTAAATGTAATTTTAAGATTGAATTCAACAGCGGGACCGAAACGGCATGATCCCAATTTCAAACGAAGTAGTAAGATTATAAAATTTGCAACTGGCACACATCCCTTTGAGCTTAGACTTGCAATATCTGACAACCTATCAAAAATACAAAATAAATGCACGGAAGCAATTTTGTACAAAATTTAATTTTTTTTTGTAAAAAAGGTGGTATGTTGTTCACCCGTATCATGTACATTTCTTCAACAAAAATTGACGAAATCGTTATGTCTAAACATTTTCAAATGAATATATTATATCTCAAAAGCTATGCAAGTTACAACAAAAATGCAAAGGACCTTCCTTGTAGAGAGTTAAATTTCCTGAAGAAACGGACGTATGACATTTGATTTAATCTTGTAGTTTTCGAGATTTATTACAAAATTGAAACATCTGAAAGCAAAGAAAGTTGTCAAAATGTATAAAACTAATTAAAATATCAACCTTTCATTTCAGTCATTTTTCTCATGCAAAATTAAACAAGAATCAAGTGTCATATCTTGGCGCCACGAAAATCGTAGTGCGGCCCGAAAATTTCTTATTAATTTTTGTTCCATTATCAGCAAAGCGACTTACCGATTTTCTAGAATTGTTCTACAAATGACTTCTCTCACCCCGGGATTGGTAGCCTTGTCAGCGGAAAAGCTATCTAAATTCCATGTTGCCAACCTGATAGAAGTCCTGCCATCCAGATTGTCCGTAAAATCACAGGGAGTCAATGGACGTGAAATTGCTACACTCAGAAGTTCCCAGAAGTCTTCCTCGGTTATACCTGAGGTTAGATCTATACTCGTTCGATATCCATTCGCTCTAGGCCTAAATAAACGAGACAACGAACAACGTGATATGACATCCAACAATCGAAGTACTCACTTACTTCCCTATTAATCTCCTATTACAATTGTTAACAACAGGGCTTTATTGTGTTTTTAGAAACCATAAATCAGGATGAACAAAGAATGAGATTTCATACAGCTGCGAGGAAAAATCTTGATTGACGATTTCTCGAATTAGAAACAGTAGAGGGACTGAAAATCTTTAAAAAGTTACCAGAATTACTGGACTTGAATACCAATAAACAGCCTTTTTTTTATTCCCTCCCCCCAAGAAATAGACTAGAATCTCTAAATCATAAGAGAAAATTGAAACTGTATTTTAAGACACACTCACGCGTTAAAAGGCTTTACTGTTCCATTCTGTTTGCCATAAGAATTCCTTGATAAACGGCCAATACTGTTGCCAATTGGTGTACTGGAAGCATGAGGTTTATTCCAAGGCGGGGATGAAGTGGCAGTACTAGGCGTTGGGGTGATCGAACCATTTGAATCGATATCTACTGTTAAATACGGCCTTATCATGGCTAAACGATGCTTCCCCATACCTCGAACTTTTTTCAACTCGTCCAGACAACGATAAGGACCTCGTCGTGTCCTCTTTTCGACAATCCTCGCTGCCAATTCCTATAAAGCAAATCGCATCTTTAGTTCCTCTTTCTAATTAGGCTCCCTCAACTGAATATGTACAATAACGTAGAAAAAAATTCTAACTACACGTGTGATGCATTGTTGTAGCTTTGAAAAATACGTACAAAGTTATATCAAATATATTTAATTCTCAATTTTGAAGAGGTTTAATGAATTAGTGAAGTGTAGCTTATATTATTTTATATACAGAGTTGTCGCACACGAAGCATTCATCGGGTTTAGATGGGAATTGACAGGAAAACCCGATGAATCATTTGTAATAACTCGTGATTATTCAGAAAGGTGATTTCAGAATATAAGTCTACGGGAAACTTGAAAGATGATCTATCTTGTTCATTTTGTGAAACGCTTCAGCAACGTAGTGTGCAGTTTATAACAATGTAAACGCACGTCGAGCAGATGCACATGGCGGGCGACTCCTACCCAATATTAAAAGCGCAATCTCCGCGTCATTTCTCCTGCCTCCCCAAATACCGTCGAAGTCTCCTAGTTCTGTTAGAAACTTGGGCTATCGTGTGACGGGCCCAGACCGTGGCAAATTAAGTTTATTACTGACGTTTATAGCTTAATAAGATGCACATTACATAAATTATTAAATAACTGTCACTTATGCTTACTTTAGGTTTCAAAATTTATCAAATGATTAATGATAGCTATTCTCAGAAGTGGAAAGAAACTGGAATGGCTGGTTCATTATAGCAGTACTATGACATCTTGGTCCCTTGCAACAGGCCGCCACTTGTTATACGCATATAATCATCCTTAATTCTGGAAACTGAGAACCTAATGTACTTTGTACAACCTTCTACATATAACCTTCTCACAACAACTATGCATCGCATGCGTAGTTCTTTACAATGATTTTCCCCCAAGACAACCTTAAACTTATTTATTTTCCACAACAGATAGCTAAAAGCAAAAATGCCACAGAATCAAAATATTGTTAAGAAATCCGGTTATAACATTAACATATTTTTCGAATTGCGATGCGTTTATCTATCGATCCAAAACAGGTCATTTCGACTAGTTGTTTAACCTGATTTATCCCTGGAATCGCCTGAAGCGCAAAGACACTGGCGGTATTAACGTCAACGAGAGTTCCGCTGTTTCCAAAGGAATCCAAGCTCAAGGAAACCTTTGAGGACGCTCGGCTGCCACTTGAGAATGGAACGTAGATCTCTGGCCTAATCTGCTCCAACCTGCGAGCACCCACTCCGGAGACAAGAGCCAGGTCTTCGACGCGATTAAAGCGTCCGATCAAACGACGATGATTCACGATATTGGCCGCAATCGTGCGATTGATCCCCGGCAAAGTCATCAGCTCCTCCTCCGTGGCAGTGTTCACATTCAACTGATCTGCCTGGTACATGGCCTACAAACATTTGCGTAAAGTTAACTATTAGGCGTATATCATGGAATAAAAAATCTATGATAAAAGGAAAGCTTTTTAAGGGTGAGATAAGGACGGTAAAATCGGGACATAAAACAGAGAAACGTTATTTTTTTGTACGCAAACGATTCTAGGAAATAAATTATTCTTTAATAATCATAGATTGAGACAGATTGCCTTGGAAAAAATGATTAATCATGAATGCAATTCATATGGAGAACAGGAGCCTTATTAAAAATCGAGAATTAAGGTATATAACCATTATTTCTTTGGGCGCAAACAACTCCATACAATTAGTTATTACTTTGAAATCGTAGACCTTTAAGAGAAATCTCTGTGGAACAATGTGTGTCAAATGAAGACGAGAAAATATTTAAAAAATAAAGTTTATGATAGCAGACCATTGTTTGATGTCACTACGTAGAATTTCAAATTATGTTCTTAATAGATTACGTACTGACGTTTTTATCGAACAAGTGATAAGTGAGCACGTAATCGGAAAAACCGAGTCTGAAGTACAAACTTTTAGAACATGTTCAATTATTCATATCAAACCCCAATAAAGCTTGCAAGTGCTAATTAAAGAGTGACGGGACCGGTAAATAGTGTTGCAGTAAGAGGAGAAACGTGAACCACCGAAATTAATACGCATGCGTGTTGCGTAACGCCGAATTTGAGAAATTTACGGAATGCTGCAATTATCAGCCAACTGCATTGTGCAGTCCTTTTGGCACCGACTCGTTGCCTACGAATCTTCCTCGAGTTTACAGCCATTTATATCCACGAGGACAGCCAAGGATGCTGAAAAAAACAACCCTGTTGGTTGAAATTAATCAATTTAATTGGAGGGCAATCGTGTGATTTAATGTTGGTTAACGTTTATTTGGATTGTGATGTATTTAAATTATTTGAATATTACTCGTCTAAGAAAAATCACGATATTCTCCTCTGTTAGGTGTAATATAACTTTAGGTGTTCTAGTATCCATATATTTTAAATCAATGTTGCCAAAATTAAATTTTTCTATTCCCATCTTAGCTTAATCAGCAAAGGTGAAAGTTTTGTAGTCCCACCCTAATTCAGAAAATCAGGATAAGGGATTAACCAATCTCTATTTTAATCTCAACTCGAAGTACACAAAATCGTGTATCGATATACATATGCTATACCTTTAAGGGTTCACTCCCACAGGTAAACGTATGGGAGAGGTACTTCGAAGTAGTCGACCGCCGTCTTCCCATACTGCTAAAGGAAATACGCCCAATACTGTGCCTCCACGAGCCATGTTCCACATATACACTTCCCGATTGACCCATTTCTTATTGCAGTACTTGCTTCCATGTGTGATAAATTTCCATGTTTAGCAGGCAGATACAGAAACAAATGAACCATTACCAAGCAACCCTGAAAGTGATGAAACATAAAGCTCAATTTTTTATATGTTTAGAAAAAACGTTATAGATCAAATTTTAGTTCTAAAATTAAACAGACCAATATCACAGTATCGTTAAATATCTATAATTTATGTGGACAAAGTCAAATACTAAGTCTCCACCAGTGGTATTTATTCAATACCAAAATGGATAAGTCCGGCATTGCATGCATATCCACCACTTATTTTGGTATTAAAACCATATGGTCGAGTCAAATCCAAAATTGGATTTATCCAATCCGGTAGTGAATAAATACCGACAGTGGAAACTTAGCAAAAGGCACCGTTATTTACGTTTGATACTTTAAGTTGACTTCACTGTATAATTACGGATTTGTTTGATGCCCGGTAGTTTAAATTACTTTCATGAAAACATACGACTGCTTTTGCTCTCTCCAAATATTAATGCTATTATGATAAATGCATGTTTCTTTTCTATTTTTCAGGTTAGAAACAGGCACCAGGCCATGTTAAAAATGTGCCTAAATTTCACTAAAATTCATTTAAATACCTTGTATTATAAATTGCATCTTAATTTGATCAGTTATCACATGTATAACTTAATAGGTGGGTAGAAAGCGATAGCAATAAATCTAAACAAAAATATGCCCACGATATTAATGGCTATTTAGCAATTTACGTACACTCGATCTAACACATTGAAATTTATGAAGAACAAACATCACTTAAGTAAAAAAAACTTCCATTGAGTTCTTATATTTAGTTAACTAACAGATTTCTATTAGAAACTAGATTACTAACAATGGGATAAAACCTACAGGATATCTTTTATATGCCATATGACCATTTATTAAACCGTAGATGTTATCAACCCAGTGCCTATATATCTATCATACTACTGTTTAAAAGTGATCTATTAGAAAATAGATACATTAAAATGCCACAACGGCGTTGCATTCAAAAGTACTCGAATACTAAAGTAAAAGTTATTCGCATACGTATTTACTTATCGCACTGTATAAAATTTAAATTACAGAACATATAAATTCTTCGTATCTTATTATTCACAGAAATTTCTATTAATGTTTAATATTGCTATTTTTCTTCAAAAAGAAAACAGTTATGAGAAAAATAACCAAGCCTATTGTAACCTGCACAGCTCCTTTTAAATACCATATTTTAGATCTTATTTGGATTCACTTTGAGGCTTACCAGATATTCAGTTCAACATAATTTGCCATTGCCACCTGCTTACGTTAGTAATATAGTTCCTGATAAAAACCTATGAGCTAAGCTATTAACAAGACATAAAGTTACTCTTCAAAAAGTGTATTGCAACTCGATACACCTGTTATGAGGTTATTTGCAATATTTTGATTAGTATGTACTGTAAATGTATTAATTCCAGAAATAGTATGCAGAAGTATTTTGATAGAGAATCTAGTAACATTGTGAGGATAAAGTAAAATGTATAAAATTGGCAATTTAATAACACTTAATTAGCAGGATAACTGCCATGGGACTTACATGGGCATTAAATTCATCTACTCCGCCTCGTCGAATGCGCTCACGCATCCGAGTGAGCAACATTAACTCACATTTATTTTTGGTCGTTGGCACTAAATTCTCGTTCTTGCATTATCGAAAATTCATCTCTTCGGAAAACTTAAGATTACCTTCTCGGTGGATCAATATAACCTATTTCAACGATAAATGTGTCTCCGATAGGAGGTTCTGTTCGCCTTGCCAATATTGTCTTCATTGAAACGGACAAGCCACCGCTACCTTTACTCGTAATAAGCGAAATGACCACGAAATGACCGAAATGACAGTCCGGAAGTCCCGAAATGACACAACAGCTCACAACAGCTTCGCAAGCGGGCCATAGACAACTATAGACAACTATAGACTGGCGACTCTCCTCTTCCTATAAAAAATTGCAATTTAGTTCCTGACTGCATCACCAAAGTGCTAGTGATGCCAGGCGTCATTTTGCGCGGGATATTCAAAATTCACTTCTAATTATTTTTCTTTAATTACATTATTTCGTTTGTAATAAATAAGACTAATTTTCTGAAGAATAAGTTTCTTTAATAAACCTTACAAAATTGATAACATCTACACTTTGATTAAATTATTGTATATCATACTGACTGCAAAATTATCGTACATTTGGTAATTCTACGCGGACCACGCAACCAATTTATTAGGTTATACAAAACATTTCCAATTGCTGCTCAACTACCGGATAACTCTTAACTGGAAGTGAAAAGAACCGAACTGAAAGATATCTTTCGGATAACTTTATCGGGAATATATCCGTAGACGAAAAAATCAGGCGTAAATCCGACTTTTGGATACGTCTTCGCCATCTAATTTTATTTAATATCGAACCATGTATGTACATAGGAATATAGGGGATTGGACATAAGATGATAAATTAAACCACAGGACGGGGGGGCAGCCACATTACCATGTCAAAACGCAACACGAGATTTGAAGAGGTCTTTCTACTTTTTACGTTGAGAGTAAAATAAAAAACAGAAACAATGACATTTAAACCTAAAGCTGTAACTATTGTAGTCTAATTTAGATTTTTAATCGTTTTCTCTACAATTAACAATAATAGTTAACTACTCATAGATATCTAATATACATCACTGTTCTACTAAATATAAAAACAATTTCTCAAGATACACATGAAACGAAATGACGGGTTCATCTTGCTTCCTTTTCTTTGCCTTCCCAGGTTTTTCCTTGCAATCATGAAACACGCGGAACATAATCGTTTTCAGAGAACAATAAAATTGCAAATTCTCAATGTATCACTCTCATATCACGTTTAAATTAGTACTTCATTTGACTCTGACTCTGTAACGTTTGGCACTTGAACACTATTCCCCCCTCGACTAAATGTCCAGTTCCTCTATTCCTATGTAACCTATGTAACCTATGTAACCTATGTAACCTATGTAACCTATGTAACCTATGTAACCTATGTAACCTATGTAACCTATGTAACCTATGTAACCTATGTAACCTATGTAACCTATGTAACCTATGTAACCTATGTAACCTATGTAACCTATGTAACCTATGTCACCTATGTTCGTGAGACGCACTCAAAGTCGGATTTGTCCAGATTTGTCCAATCCGGTATCTGCCGGTATCAAATAAACACCGACGGTGGAGACTGTATTTGCCTCGTGTAGCGTGAAGTATCGAATAAATGTTTAATTTTCATGGATTTTCAGTGTTTAGAAGAAAAAACTCACAATGAATATTATAGAATGGAAGAAACTATTCCCCGAAAATTGGAGCGCTGCAATTTTCGTCTCCTATATGATACTTTTTGTTAATCAAGGTATCCTAACCTTACTATGTACAGTATTATTTACTTGTTTCCCTTTAGATTCGTGATTGTTTATTTATTAATTTCCTGAATGTTTAAATTTTTTGAATGAAATAATTTTATTCCAATAGAGATTAATACTGCTCTATTTAGTTTTAATTTTAGTACCTGTTTTTATTCAAGTGACCAATGAGTTTATTAAATTACGATTAACTATCAGCCAGTTTCCATACAAACCATTATATATTCGGTAATAGTGCGCAAACTTTTTGTTATTAAATTATCACAGTGAGCATTGTAGAATGTTGATTAACAGATTGCATCTTTCATTTAGATAATAAAAATAATTGTCACGATCATTTTGTCATTACAGGGATTTTAGTAAGGTGGTCGCAAGGAAAGGGAAGTACGTACGAATATAACACCGTTACAGTGGTTTTATTAACTGAGGTTTTGAAATTAGTTGTTTCCATAAGTATATATTGCCTTGGGTGAGTGTATCGTATCAAATATTGTTGCTCGGTAGCAAGTTTTATCAGTGTTGAATTAATTACATTTTTATATTATAGTAACGATGTCAAAAACATGTTTGTTGAAATGGTCAAATACAAAAAAGGTGAGTCAGGTGATCGAGTGTAAGTTATGTTTTTCTTAAATCTGTTGAGTAAAGTATTAATTGTATTTCTTTTCAGTATTTTTATTATATATGATCCCATCCTTTCTGTATTGTCTTTATAACAATCTGGCATTTGTAAATTTGGCTGTCTTCGATCCTACCACTTATTACCTATTGTTGCAATTCCGGGTTGTCATCACAGGAATTGTTTTTCAGGTACTGGACATATTTACTTTATCGTTCCGTTATTTCTCGAATATCGACGAGCTATTATTTTTTTTGACTCGATATACTGTATGAAGGCAATGTAAGAATTTAAATTTAAATCATAGATGCAATATGTTTCATCTAACAAAAATTCATGGTATCCATTTATATGACGTATTTCTTATTACATGTGTATTTCAGATGGTTTTTAAAAAGACACTCTCCACACGTCAATGGATTTCATTGATATTATTAACTGTTGGATGCATGGTGAAACAATTTAATGTAAACTTCCAAGTATCAACTATTGTGCCTGCTTTAGAATTTAATGTTAATACATTCTTCATCTTTATCCAGGTATGGAGAAAAACTGAGCTGAATTTATTAAGTAAAGCAATATTAATAAGTTATCATTTTTCTAATTTCAGACTTTATGCTCGTGCCTAGCTGGTGTTTACAATGAATACTTGCTAAAAGCCCAAGGAGCAAATATAAATATACTTCTTCAGAATGCATTCATGTACACTGATAGCGTCATTTGCAACTTGGCAGTTCTAACTGCACAAGGTGACATTCTTCAGAGCTTTGACAATGTAGGACCCAGCATATTTTCCCGTCCTGAAGTTGTTTTGATCATGATTAATAATGCAGCGATAGGAATCGTGACGAGCTTCTTCTTGAGGCACCTCAACTCGATCTTAAAGACCTTTGCTAGTGCCTTAGAACTTGTCTTCACAGCGGTTCTGTGTTGGATTATTTTTGGCATTCCATTAGACGCAAACACAATTATTGCAATTGCTATAGTGAGTTACTCAATAGTTCTGTACTCTCAAAGCCCAGTACAGAATGTACAACAAAATTCCGCAGTAGAGTTGGATATTCAATCGGAGGACAGGAAGGTCCTTGTATGATCTGGTAACCTAATATTAAAGATTTATGCAGAGATCTACGTGGTAAAAACTTATGTTTTTGTATCATTTTGTTTACCATTTTCATCATTGGACAATGAACAGTTATCTCATGGGAGAGATAATGTATCGTTCAAGGTAATTATCCAAAGATAATTTATAATTTTATAATACTAATTCTATCGAGCCTGTTAAACTGTGAAATGTTTTTAGGTTCCATGCAGGAATTAGGATATAATATCACATTGTGTCCAGATAACGGATTGTTAATTGAAAGTCCATAAGAGATTTATAGCTAATTTATGTGCTTTAAACTCAGAAAATGTACAACAATCCAATTGTCATATCACAAACTATTACTCAATTTAATCATCTCAAAAAGTGTTAAAGGCTCAATGGTAATTAGTTGTCTTCACCCATACTTTGGTATTAAAATGTTAATACATAATTAACCCTGTGAAGTCCTAATACGCAAACATTTTTTAAGTTAGATGAACAATTTGAGACAATTCTTGTGCCAATTCCAAATGAAATTGATGTTAATCAATTAGCATCGTTAAGCTAAGAAAAACAATTTCATATGTACTTTTACGTAATATCAAAGTAAATAATAAGATAAAAAGAAAGATGCAAACATACCATACCAAGGTATCAGATTAAGTGAGACCTTATTTATAAACAACTAACTTTCACTATCCAGGCAATGCAAAGTTTTGAAGTGAATTTCCAAATATATCGAGATTTAGGTTACGTGGAATAGCGTTTAGAAGGAAGATTCCATAGCTACTCAATAAGATTATTTTCGATATAAATTTCGAGACATCTTCCCGTCCCCCTCCATCTTTGAATTCGAGCGGAAATGCCTAGAAGTAAAGTTATTCCAAATGTAGCTTATCTTTTGGTATCTTTTTAACTTAAAGAACCGTCCCCATGGATTACGTTATCTCGATCGAAATAGTTATATTTTAATTTCCCTCCTCTTTTGGTCCACGACTCGGTCGTGTTGGTCTCGCTTTTTGAGTTGTTAATGCATGATAAAATACGAGCGACTAGCAGCAGAAATGAATTGGGAGATTTCTCACAGGCAGAATCGCGCGATCGCGTCCTGTGCGACCCCCGATCTTGATATTCCCATTGAATGACCACAAAAATATGGATATTCCAATAAGGTGACAAGAAAGGGACACCCGAGAGGTTAATCTTTCGTAAATTTCTCTCGAACATGTATCGAATTGAAAAAGATATGGACTCCTCACGGAAGCTTGAATCTCTGTATCTGCTGGTATCTGCCATTGCGATTGATTGCGATTGCGCGCAATTGCGCGAGCCCCCGAGAAATGTGTTACTGAGGGGTAACAGGTGGCAAGTGCGTTAGCCGTTCGCATCCATCACCGGGGGGCAGCACAGGACGCGATCGCGCTACCCTGCCCGTGAGCAGTCTCCCAACTCATCTGTTTTTGGGCGACTGTAGACGGTTTTAAACAGTTTTTGACGGTTTTAGTCAGTTTCTGACGGTTTTAGTCAGTTTTAGTTGGTTTTAGTAGATTGGATCGATCGGTTGAGATTTTGTTGTCACTTTAAGGGTAGCGAGTAAAGAATGGTGCGGGCTATAATCAAATAAACAGTGAATGATGTACAATATGCCATTTTTAGCAAAAAGAAGGTTAAAAATTATGTTTTATGTACAAGAGTGGCAAAAAGAAATAAGTTAGAGCAAACAGTAAATATGAACAGGAAGTAGGTGACCTACCAATCAAGAGGCTGAAAAATTTGCCGTCGGTACACCTTCCCTTTCCGATGCGCAGGATTCCCCCTTGGTCTGTAATGGGACTTTAGGCTCCGTCCATATATTCTTAAGTCCATGGTCTGACGCCTAATTTGGCCAAATTCGACCAACATGGCCGCTGCCGAACGTTAAATATATGGTCGTACTTATCCCGGAGACTTTCAACGATGTTTGATATCCTCCGTAATTTAATTGTTACTGTTTGCACCAATAGTAATTGTTATTAGTTCAGTAAAACATACGATGATTATAAATTCACCATGTGTGGTATGAAGTCTCCGTCGCACTACCGATAACCTATAAATTCGTGGTTCAATGTCACGCGATGCGTAATCGATACCGCTCGTTATGTGTTCGCTTAAAAAAGCGGGCATGTACATATTATATTTAAGCGCGGTGGTAAATCTGGTTGGATGAATAACCTGAACCTATCTGAAATGAGAATATCTATGTCAGCTTTGATTTTTCTAGTCTTCACTTTAGTACTCTCAATATTCGTGGCTAACGTCGCTGATTTCATTGACGTTGATACCCATGCCTTTGATCAGGCCTCGGTTCCCAAAAGGTTCCACCCTGAAAAATCCTTGAGACAGAGGCCAGAGAAGTACGATGTGGACGATTCGTTTGAAAACATTATGTGGTTCTTGCAGGTCAGTTTTGCAACGGTAATATTTATACAAATTTCAGTGGCAGCTGATACCGTTTAGTTCTTGCTTTCGGCATGATACTTCTTACTTTCCATTGATCTAAATATTATGCAAAGCATCCTAATTAATTTTTCTTTTTTCTTACAGATATCAGATATACATATAAGCATTTTTCAAGACCTATCGAGAATTACAGAGTTCAAAGAATTTTGCGACGTCACTGTTGGTACTATACAGCCCTATGTTGTCCTGGCTTCAGGTAATTTCCTTGTATGTTTAAGATTGATATAAAGCATGTTAAATCATAAATTTTATTTGAAAGTATAATCTGTATATAGATAAATTTATTAATGAATATTGCATATTTTTTAAAAACATGAGTTAAGTTGATAATTACAGATGAAGATACAACTCTGTCATAGGTGATCTTACCGATGCAAAGACTAGAGACAAAATGGGGTCGAGACAAATCATTGAAGAATGGCAGCACTATAAAAATGTTCTCGATGAAACCAATATTGTCAAGAGGACGATATGGCTCGATGTTAGGGGTAATCATGGTAAGTGTTGAAACAATGATACAAATAACTTAGTACAAATTCTAAAAGTCGTATTAAATAAACGATGTCCATCATTTTAACATAGAAAGTTTAAGATCTTGTGTGTTTTCAGATAATTTTAACATTCCTCATTTCGACTCAAAGAATAATTATTACCTGAATTATTCGGTACAAGGAAAGCTTCATCCACGGTCTTATATGCATCAGATTACAGTTGACTCTGAAAAGTACAGTTTCATAGCCATCGATGCTTGTTTGGAACCAGGACCACGACGTCCCTTCAATTTTGTTGGTATGCTCGATCGAAGGGAAATTGAAAGGATACATCAATTAGCGAATGAATCAAAGCAAACAAATGGGAATTTTATTATCTGGTTTGGCCACTATCCTACTTCTTGTATACTAGCTCAGTGCAATGATGGGGTTAGAAATATTTTAGGTACACAACTTTTGATTAGATTTTAATTTAAAATGTCCTTATTTAAGGTGATATGAAAGGTGGTCTACGCATCGGTAAAAACTAAATTCCGCAAGGTTTTTTTCAGAATACGTGAACCGATTTATCTGAAATTTTGCTACGTAATTATAGAGGTTCTAAGGCCGTTTCTGACGCTCAACAAACTGTTGTATTTTTCAAAAAAATGTTTTTTATTTAGCTGAAGAGTTCAGAATAGTATGTTAGCCAATGGATGGTGGTGCTGTAATCTTCTCTCCATCTCTCTTAATCCTTTCGCCCCCCAACGTCGGCTATAGCCGGTATTCACAAAGCAACCCCTAGAGACGAACGCCGACTATAAGTGCCATCCACGAAACGACTTCCAACGACGAAAGCGGCCTATAGCCAGCATCTACAAAGTAACGTCCAGAGATGAACCAGTTATAGCCGCAATATGTACACTTTTGGCGCGAAGTCCCGTTCAGAGACGGCACTTTGGCGGAGCAAACCGTCGCAGCGAAAAGATTAATCTTATAGCGATATATAACAGATTACATGCTCAAATAATTTAGAATACTATAGACATGGAATATTTCAGAGTCAGATGGACAAGTATTGAAAATATTTTCACGAACGATTGCCTGAATGCTGGCTTGTCCGTGTTTTTAAAAGAAAAATTTTATTGCAACTAAACGTCACAGATGGCACCGTTAGTCCATTAGAGTATAAATTATTCATCCACAGGATTTCTACAGTTTTACTTTGACTTATTTATACTTATTCTATTGAAATGACATATTGAACGCTTCATTTCGTATAAGTTTCAATGTAGACTGAAACAGACTTCAACATAAGTATAAATGTTGGTAATGTGACGCGCCAACTTATTACCACTTGAGTATCTAAAATGGCGTTACTGCCAAAGAGGGTATAGATGAATTTTAATTTATTGACATCGATTAAATTTCTCAACGTCTTTCATATCATCTTAACTTCACTTTGAAAGCTCCAGTAGACGTGAGTCGGTCATCTTGGACTGGTAATATTTCCCAGCAAAGGCTAGCACTGGAAGAAACTAAATATTCACAAAATATGTCGACGAGTTAGTTTTTGACAGATCATGCACTAGGAAGCGAGATATGACTTTCTGAAAATTATCTTGCCAAGGCCTGGGACAGATTTACGATTACGATTTGGGTGAACTGATTTGTTTCAAATTTTACCACGTGAAGCAGAAGCAAAAAAAAGCGTGTCGGCAAAATTGGGCAAAGCAACGTTACTGATATCTATAGACATCATCTGTAGAAATCATATTTCAATCAATTAAGCGTCGCATATTTTGCGCAAGTGACGTATAGATCATACATGATTTTCCGACTGCGTCTACTGGAATCTTAACTATTCACAGACATTTATTGCCTTGATTCACAGCCTTGATAGATAATTACATAAAATTATTGCAGGTAATTATAAAGAGAGCATGGTCTACCTCTGTGGGCATTTACATATGTTAGGAGGTGTAGTGCCCAACATGTACACGTTACAGTATCCTGGCTTCCTCGAACTAGAATTAGCTGATTGGATGGACAATAGGATGTGAGTAGAAAGACTTATTTTGAATAAGGCATAATAATTTATTTTCTGAAAAAGAAAAGTATACAATAGAGTCTGTATTAAAAAATAGCAACTTCACGCTCTGCGATTTAATTGAAGTGCAAACGTCTAGCATAAGCAAGAATAAATTTTGCTTTGAGAAAAAAGGCTAGTTGTATAGAAATAGAAAGTATCGGTACTTTGGTTGGCATAATGTAAAGATTTAAGGTACTTAATCCAGTTGCTCTTCTTATTCATGTTTGTTGCCAGGTATCGACTTGCTGCTATAGATCACGGTCAGTTTTCCTTCACTGACATAAAGCATCGAGATTGGCCTGTGGTACTGATTACGAATCCAAAGCATGCGTTGTTCATGATGCCACAGAAAGAAAATGTACAATCTATGATTGAGTCTACGCATGTCAGGTAAGATTTGGCTTGAAAAATAGTAATAACCGGAGTTTCTATTAGGTTGCATAAGTTTCTTATTACACGTTACGTTACGTGTACGTAATATTAATATCAGAGATATGTTCGAATAAATGCATATCAATGTCGTTCTAACCATCAAATTTCTTTTCATTGTGAATAAGAGTTACGCAAACTTTACTGGATTACTTGATTCCTGCTAACTGTTTATATAAAGCAGAAAGTATTTAAACCAATATAACAAATAATTCAATCGGGATTCGTTTGTGTACGGTGAATTCGATGGTGGTGTTCCACTTTTAATCAATGCTTTACAACTCTTAATTCCAATTTGTCTGAATTAAAAATATTAACTAATCACTTGAGACGTTTCTACCAGCTGGCCACTGTACTAACTCCTCCTTTTAATTATTTTTGCAGAGTGTTAGCTTTCTCGGTGGCTCCAGTAAAATCCGTTGAGGTGCAGATCGACGAAGGCGCTTGGATGCAATGTCGACATGCAAAAGGGCCCCTTTATGTCACTGCATGGAATTCTTCCTATTATAAAAGTGGAATCCATCGTATTCAAGTGCGCATAACACTCTTGCTTTGTTGGTACAATTATTTCATTCGCTACAGAAGCCCAGTAATTATATTAAGGTGATATGAAAGGCATAGAGAAATTTAATCGACGTTAATAAAATAAAATTCATCTATACTTTTTTCACCGCACAGTGGTCCGAAGTGCATTGTTAGGACGACAAAAATGGTATATGTTTTGTGATCTTACATTTAAAGTTTTTATACATATTTTAACATTTTGATATTAATAGAGTGTAGTATATTAGTACAATATACAATACTAGTAAGTATAGTGTACTAGTATACTTCACCGTATTACACGTATAGCGTCCTGGACTGGCTGAAGTGGAAAACTAAAAGTACCCATTGTATTATCTCCATTTTTTTTCTTCACTTATATTACCGTCTACCTCCTTTTTGGTATGAATTTTAAAGTACATAGGTGTACGAAAGTACTAATTAATCTACCACAAGTTCCTGAAATATATCCAAGAAAGCAAGAATTTGACGATCCAGAGAGCGCAGATTTAACTGTGATGTTGAATAACGCAACTTTAGATACTCGAGTGATATAAACTGGCGTACTACGTTACCGAAATTGACATTGGCATAGTTGGTCAAAAGTTTGGCGCACCAAACAGTTATTCTATCTATAACTGCTACCTTATTACCCTGCTAATCCCTTTCGACCCTACTATTCTACTCCCCTATCCTATCCAATCTTCCAAACTGCACTACTCTACTATCCTACAATGTATCACATAACGAGCTACATAGAACAGAAAAGTTGTAGGGTTCTACAAATGTTTGACCGGTATTGTATGTTAATGTTTGGTACACTCTACATTAGGAATTATATGAAATGAAACACTCTACATGTAATTTCAGTACAATGATTATATAGAAATTGAATTGAAACTCAAGAAATGCCTTAGATTCAAGATTTTTTATGCTCAAATTGACCAACGGCGCCATCTGTCACATTTAACGTAAACTACATTTTTTTTTCTTTAAGAGCACTTCCAGAGTACATGTTACTTTCGAAATATCCAAGAATTTCATTACACACCTTTATCAATTTTTTCTCGATATTTTCCACATGAGTCTGTAAGGTTCGATTACCATAGTTTTCTAAATTATTATTCCCAGGACGTGAGTCTTCCTTTTCTGATTTGAAAGCATTCAAAAGGTATAAACTATAAAAAGTAAGTGTTCTTTGTTCTTGTCTAGGGTAAATGATAAAGTTTGTTTTGAAAAATCGAATTTCATGAGTATTGCGTTCATTCTTAGGACATCCATAATCCCGCTGTAGTTTCAAATAATTCGGTGTACCCAGTTCGGAGAAAAGTTTTATAAATATTTTGATGCTTCTGAGGTCACTTTCATATCACCTTAATAAATATTTTAATAAAATGTATACATCCCATATAGAAACCACCGAATACTCTAAACTATTATAATCTTTGAATGAGATTTTTCTTAAATTATAAAGTGTTCTTTTCAATAGGTACGGGTTTTGGATGAAGATGGTAGAAAAAAAGTGGTATTTCAGCCGTTTTCTCTGGATGGTAGTCGGTTGACCTTCAAGATTTTACCAAGGTTGATTCTTATGTCGAACGTCAGCCATTTAGTAAGTAGAATGTAAATATTTGTTTGATTTTCAAATATCACCTGCAATTATTGACAATTGCTTAAACGTTGAAGTATCGTACTTTTATTAGTTTCAGTCACTGTTTGCAAGTGTGTTGCTGATCATGATTGTTCCATTATGTGTACTTCGTCTACTTCATTTTATGTACAAAGGTAATGAAACCTTTAATCATCTTATAAAGCAAAATGAGTACGTCGGATGTAATTAAGGTGATATGAAAGACGCTAAAAAATTTAATTGACATCGATAAAATAAAATTCATCTATATCCTTCTTAGTGGTAACGCCATTTCAGATACTCAAGGGGTAACAAGTTGGCGTGCCACTCTACTGACATTTATATTTACATTGAAGACTGTCAGACTCTATAGTTGAGAATTATACGAAATAAACCGTTTCATATGTCATTTCAGTGGAATAATTATAAAGAAATTGAAGTAAAACTGTAAAAATCTCGTGAATTCATGAGTTTTGATACTCTACCGGACGGACGGCGCCATCTGTAATGTTTAGCTGCTACTAAATTTTTACTCTATAAACCGTGTTACCTATGGTGCAAGCCAGCATTCTCTTGCAATCGTTCGTGAAAGTATTCTCCATATTTTCCCATGTGACTCTGTAATATTTCATTTCTTTAGTATTCTAAATTATGTAAACTGGATTCTGGAACTCTTTTTTTTTTTTCAATTCTAAACCCTCAAAAAGCGTGAAACATTAAAAACGTGCACGGACAACGCCATATTTGTTCTAATCAACGATAACTAAACAATGTATTTTTATAAAAAATGAAATGTCATGAGTTTCAGGACCTATTTTAGGTCCTCCATATTCACGTGTAAAATCTGAAACGAATCGATACACCCAATTCAGAGAATATTTTCACGAACTATTGGACCTCAGATATATATAGACTGACTCTTTTATATCATCTTAATTGTTAGTCAAAGTAACTCTATCGTGAAGGGAGTTCGTGCTCAAAGTTTAAATTAAATTAAATTAAATTAAATTCGATATATAATGATATATATTTTTAGGCAAACGTTTACGTCAGCCCAGAGTTCCAATCAAAGTATTCCAATGGTGGTACCGGAAATTGTGGATTTTGTCAACCGTTGACAGATTGTTCTTCCCATTAGTACTTTATGCATTATATTTGACAATTGGTAAGTTATTGTTTCAAATCATAACTCGCCAATCTTAAGATTAACCTATGAAGTATAAATTTGATGTATGCCGAGGTAAAATTGAAATATAAATGTTCAAATTACTTCCTATAATGTAATTATGAATGTTTAATTGCGTTGAAGGGCCCTGGGCAATCGGAGAAGTAATTGAAAACCATGTAGGAGTGATCTTCGCCTGGGGAATTTTCGTGGCCAACTCATTTTTGCCTGGCTCCTTTACATATGCTTATGGTTTCTTTCAATTATTCACCTTCCATTTGCCCCTGGTATTAATGCTGGCCCATCGCATCGACAGAAGGTAAATCATACTTGTTATTTCTTGATTAGAAATTCTAACAAATTGTATTAGGTTGGCCATTGATTCGATATGATTTTTCTAACGTTATCAGTCTATAAATAGAACGTGGAATTAATGGCCAACCCAATATGATATCGGAGGCTGCATCTTATAGTCTTACAATCGTCCTTGCCCAGCTTCTACACATCGAAAACTGAAGTTTCTTTTTCTGACACCGAGTGCCAAGGAAAAATTGCGCGTTGCGCATAACTCTGAAATAGGGCGTGCATGAAGTGGCATCTGAAGACATTTTTCTATCGTAACCAAACAAATAATTTCTTTTCCTTGGCTCGGTGTCCGATAAAACTAGCGATATAAAACAGTGAGACCTCTCATTTGATCAATCGAAGGTAGAAATCTGGATTCATGCCTCATTTCCATACCCGCGGACGCGGATACGCGCAGGAAACATCATGTATGCGGAACGATAGTTCACTCCACTATCCTTTGGCATCTAGTAGAGAGGTCAGTCCAGTCAGCGCTGCAGGCGCCCGGTGTCTGAACCACGTGGAACAGCGCCGATTGGTTGAGCCATCTCAAGGCCATTCTGCGTTGCGCTCTCCGCGTCGATTCCGCGCGGATGGAAATGAGAAATTATTATGTAAGCGGACATTTGCAGATTAAGAGAAATCGAAAAGCCGCCGAAGAAGTCTCCAACGTTTCTGCAAAGGTTGTGGAGCCACGTACCATTCTTTGCGCTCGTCGCTCTGCAAATCAGCATGGTGTATTTCTTCTGGCTGGCATATGGAACAATAGCCACGGTCCTCTGCCCTTTGAGAACGTGGAGTATATTTCTGGCAGCTTGGCTATGGCACCAGACGCATGCTATGCCGCAAAGCTGTTTGAGGTAACATTGTCATCATAACGATTACTTTGAATTTGCATTAGTCGTTGGATGAATTTCAACCCAGCATATCAAGTTTAGCATAAAGAGTCTTTGCCAATCTTTCGCATTCAATTCATTGAAATTTTCGATGTGCTTCTTCTGGTTACTGTTTATTCAAGAGCGTTGCTGCTTTTTCTATCAACTGATATGACCGACTGATAACGAACGTGTTAATCACTATTAATTTACTCTGTTTTGTCGGTAGGTCAGCAGCTACAGTGTGGTCGTCGAGAGAGCCTCCTGTACGTAGTGTCACCAATCCCAACAGAGGGAGCATTTACAATTGTATAATGGCGTGAGCATTTAGCAACGACCCTAATTTAATTTTCCGAGTAAGACGGATCGTTGCATTCTCGGGCTTTGTTTACACCGATCACTCGGTGCCCGTACTATAGGCATACTTTTTGTCAAACTCTCACAAGGAGAGGAGCAGGTGTGGTCGCTCAGATATTTACAGTACTTTGTTATTTTGTAGTTCTCATTGTATAAAACTATTTGCCAAAGAGATCACGCGCACCTCTCAGGAATTTTCCAGAAATAATCGCTTAAATATTTAATATATACCTCATAAGGACATGGGTTATAGTAATTTTCCAAGCGATGACAGCCTAGCATAAAATTACAGGTAACCTAGTAACGTAATGTAGCGTGATAAATGTAATTTTATCCTCCTGTCCTGTTGTTTACGAGTATCTTTTAGTTATTCCTATCTCTTTTAATAGGGGTTTGCAATTTCATGAGAAAGAAATAGAAAAATGAAATTACATATGTAAAAAAGAAAAATGCAGTTACATACGAAATAAAGTGCACCAAGTGGGAATTGAACCAGCGCTCCGGCAATTCGAGGCCTGGCGCCTTGTTCACTAGGCTATCAGCCGCTTCGAAAGTCGTTAGTAACCCATGTTCCAATGATGTATATACTAAATATTTAAGCCATTTTTTTTTCATTCTTGAGATCTTTTGACGAATAATTCTAATACATTGAGCCCTACAAAATAACAAAATATTACGAAATTTTGAGACGGTCCTCTCTTTAGCAGTTTAAGCGGCGATGGTACGACGCCTTGGTGTAGTGGTGGACATGAATGCCTCTCAGGTGGATATGGTGCCGTCAGTGGATGATGGAAAAGCATTTGTCAGACAGCGCACACCATCGTTTACATTGACAGTTTAATAATGAACGCCATTAATACGCTTTTAGTACGTGTACCAAGTAATGGGTATAAATTAAGCCAAGGGCCATGGGTATGGATCAAGTCAAGAGTTCCCCCCCCGCGCTCAGCAATAAAGAATTAAAAATGCTGAGGAGTCGACCCTCCCCGTTTATCGTCTTGGCGGTGTATAGCAATGCATGGGTCTTGCATCTAATGATTTCGATGCCTTTGTATCACCCTACAAACAATTAATATGTAATATTAAATTGGGGAGTTTACATGATTTATGCCACTTTTCTTAACACGTTACCTTGCGCGTGTCCGCGGCAATGTATTTATGCTTGAAAGGGAAAAAGAAAACGGACAAGCTTCGTCTTCAAGGTGAACGGAATAAACGAGAAAAGCCCTAGGAATTGTTATACGAAAACTGGAGCCGTTCCCGGTTATTTAAACGTGAAATGACCCTCTTCAAATCAATCGATTCGAATAAGACACTTTATTTTAGGAATATTGAACCGAACTGACTAAAACATCGACATATGACTCGTGAGAACCTAAGAGTTGTTTTGATACTTTCAAAATTTAGATTTTCGACACAATTTTCTTTAACTTAGCCTAAATCAGAACAAATATGGCGCCGAAGTCTCGTACTTCGATCAATATACAATTATTAAAAACTCTGCTGTGAGAATCGAAAGTGTCAGGACAATTGTGTAACAATCTAGAACACTGTAGTAATCGAGAAATTCGCATTTGAACAGGATAAAGGCGAAAAAAGTATCTTCTATGCTAAACCGAAGGTAACGTGAGATCTCGGAGAGGAAATTTAGTTGACGCTAAAATCACAGATGGCGCAGAGTGGCACTTTCCAGTCAATTGGAACATTAAAAATCACGAATCCAGGGGATTTCTAGAGTTTTGCTACAATTGCTTTATAATTATTGTACGGAAACAACATATGGAGTATGCCATTTGGTATAATACCAAGTATAATTCGAAAAAGTTGTCGATACAAATACGAACGTCGGAAACGTAGGTATTTAGACGAATCCTTTTTACCGACATCATTCACTTCACCTGAAGTTTGTTCCTTAGGCCTTGTTATCAATAAGTTCACGTGTCGAGGATGATTTTTATATAGGTGGTCCCATGTATCGGCTGAATTTCAGCGTAATTGTCTCACGAAGGAATTAGATGGTGTGCTAAATTATCGACGACACCGGCAAAGGGAAACAGCGATGGGCCCGGTGAGGATCCAGGAGGATTTTCCGCGTTCCTCATTGTCGAGAGGACCCCAGGTTTCGCCGTGTTAATTTAGATTATAGTTTGCCGCGTTATTCGTAGCTCTCGCGTGTTAATATAGTATATGTCGTCCGTCATTTGTGACCCGCAAGGCCAGATCAAATCCACGTATCGTTTTCAGGGTCCAGACGGCATTAAGACGGGCATTGTGCCCAGTATTTTCTTTCCGAAGTGCCGGAGGAAAATTATCGGGAGCATGCGGCTCTATATTTACTGTCGTTATTAGTGAACCATTCCACATCGCGCCGGTGGGATTCAGAAGTATCCTGTCGAATAAACAGCTTCCGTTAATTGGTTATTATCGAAAATTGATCTTTTAATGTATTCCCGCATCCTAATCCGAACTTCTTGTCAATGACTCCGTGTTTCTCGCGTGAACTCTCGACTCTACCGTGCCGCATGTAGTCCTTTATGGATTCTTGCGGGGCTGAGTGGCTGGCAATCACAGCTTTTCCGCGATATTCCGCGATATTCCGCGATTTTCCACGGGCGAGCTTGGACTTCCTTAGCTGGAATTTCTGAAGGGCGCACAGTATGTTGAAACATGCATGGCGCCCTTAAATAAATTTAAGCGGGTCGCTCCTTTCACCAATCCAAATTTTCACCGTCTCAATTTAAGATTAGGACTTTTTCGGAAGGGCCACACGGAGTACTAGTTTGCAGGGCGTGGGTGCATGTAGACCCATTTTCCCGTTGCGGTACCAACCAGAGATTTTTATTTACAAAAGAATCAACGAAGTGATTCAAAATATGAAGTTACTCCGGTCACACAAAATAAACAGATGGTTTCAATTAAAGATTATGTAACTAGCATCACATTAAACATCACTTTGAAATGCAGAGCACTACAAGCAATTACATAAAGTAACTTTAAGTAAGAAACTATTTTGGAAATTACAATTTGCATCGTCCCAATTGTTGGCATGATCTTTTCAGGACCTTCGTATACATTGTCAAATTGAAATCCAGATAAATAATACGCTATTAATAATTCTTACATACTTTGGAATCACTGTTTTCAATTTGTCGTTCGATGGCAAAAACTTGAAACACTGCATCCAATATGTTCCTCGTTTTTCAATAGTTAAGTGTATCCTTCATCTGCAATACGGTTGACATTAATCAGGAGTATCGCTTTCATCTTTACTAATGTTTCACGCGAAAGAAAATAGGAAATACTTTAGAAACTTTTGATAGGTGCAATGTCCTGACGACACCCGAGCCTTTTGATGAAATGAATGACATTTCTATGCGTCCAGAGACTATGCATTACCAACTCATCTTTTTAAATTAACTATCTTCTAAAAGTTCTTTCTGTTCCTAATTGATAGTTTTCAATTGTTTAAGGATCTGCTCTGAAATGAACTTCGTGGCCTCGGATGAATTGGGAATGAGAAACCTATCCATATCGGAAATGTGAAGTGTATCGTTGTTATGCGTTGTGCCATATTTAAACGTAATCAAATCCGGGTGACGTTTCCTCGACGTAATTTTGACAATACTAGATAAGGGCCTCTCAACGATCACATGCGCAGCTCCTCTGCATCCCTGAGTCTCTCGAAGAACGATGAGGTGGCTGTCAGTGATAAGCAGTTGGCTTAAAATGAATCAAAGATATATTAGAATATTTATTATCTCCCAGATTAACTTTAAGAATACAATCAGGTAAAATTTAAGAATACGGGGCTCACCTAGAACGCAGTCAAAATGGGTTTGCAAATGAAGTAAAAATGCCTGAGCTAACGAAAAAAACTCACCGCTCGCCTCTAAAACTAGAGTTATTCACATTTGAAGTTGAGATGCACGTAGATCGTGCAGTGCTTTTTACTAGATCTTAGATGAGCCCCGTATTCTCAAATTATACCTAAAATCATAACGGTATAGAAATTAAGGGCTCATTTCTTAACACATGAGGTTAGAAAAATCCTTAGGCTACAGAAGTCTACTGAAACGTGACATCCACTGACAGGTCGACATTGAACAAAACGCTTGCGCCGTGAAAAATATTGCATTTAATTAAACGAAATTTTATTTGAAAGAAAATGCACCGTTCTTCTAGTTACATACGCGTTAAGGTGATGTGAAAGGGCGGGGGGATTTTAAAAGAATTGTTCCTGATTTGTTCCGAGAGTAAGACGTGCTTTCCGATTAGAGCATCAGAAATAAGTCCAAGGGATTTCTTCAGTTTTATTTGGCTCTCTTTATAATCACTCCACTGAATCATAACACACGGAGTACTTTATTTCGTATAATTCTCAATGTAGGATGTAACAGATGTCAACGTACAATAATTAGAAATATGGGCAACGTGGGGCACCAGCTTGTGTTGCCACCTCGGTATCCAAAATAACGTTAGCGCCGAAAAGGGTACAAATGAATTTTATATTATTGGCGTCAATTAAATTTCTTAGCGCCTTTTACATCACCTTAAAGTTTCAAACAGTTTCTCGTACTAAGGCAATGAATTCAGAGGTTCCATAGAAACCCAAATCCTATATTGACGTTTGATGCTCTAAAAGTCGTGGGAGTAAAAGAGGGATCGCACGTATTAACCAATGGCAACTCACACACGGAATGAAGAGAGACGTGTATAAAAAGGCGGACAATGTAAATAAGATAAAGAATGAAATAAATCCGTTGTATATCTCCGTAAAGTTAAGAGAGATGGAGAGATGATTACAGCATCGCTGTCCATTGGCTAACGTACTATTTACCGAGTCTTGAACGTCCGTATTCTTCGGGGCTTCTATGACGACTTCTGAATTCTTTAACTAAGTTTAAAAAAACTATAAAGACACACAAACACAGAGATTAATAACTTTGTATAACCTGTCAAATGTAAGCCGTTTACAATAAATGTCGTATATTTTTTAGGTTACTTTTATCCCTATAAGTAATACTCACCCATGAAATAACATAAGGAGCTCTCACTCTATGTCTTTCCGAAAAATCCTGACTCAGTTTCCTTACCAAATTAGCAGTTAGTAACACTAGCGATCCTTGCGAGAAAAATGTTGTAATGCGATTATGTAATGTGGCGGTGTTTAGAATATGAATGAAATCAAAGAATTCAGAGATTCCATAGAAACCCAAATTCTATGCTGGTATTTGACGCTTTAAAAGTTAACTAACAAATCAGGAGTGAGGGTAAAAGAGAGCTCGCATGTGTTAGCCAACGGTATCTCACACATGGAATGAAGAAAGACGTGTACAGAATGGCGGATACTGTAAGTTAAAAAAAATGCAATCCGCTGTATATCTCCGTGTGATTAAGTGAGACCGAGAGATGATAACAGCGCTGCCATTTGTTGGCAAACGTATTATTTATTGAGCATTAAACGTCCGTACCGAAAATTCAAAAAATGTTGGAGGATATTTAGTGTGTCTAGGTGAGTTACAAATAATTTCTTTTTTCATTTAATTTTCATTCAATTGTAAATAGGAAATTGGTCCAATAGAGTATCAAAATCATGAATTCGGGAGGATTCATTTAATTAAAATGACATATGGAGTATGCTATCTTGCGCAATTGTCCATGTAGAATGCAAAAGACGTCAATAGAAATATAAATGTTGGCTTTTTCCGCAAGTGTCTCTATTGTTCCTAACGGCTAACTTGGAAACGAAATATAGGGTTAATTTTATAATATGAAAGTGAGAGGTCCTTATGCTACTTCATGTACTCACCTCTCATAAACATGACCATTTACTTTAACCTCTTGACACTTAAAGGAATGAAGTAATCTTGGATCCTTTAACCACTGTTGCATCGAAACCACCTCCATTGGCTGCTCGTTTTCGTGATTACTCATTGTTGTGTCTAAATCACATTATTATAAAATAGTACAAACCACGTGCATGTTTTATAAACCTTAAAAAAGAAATGGTATATACCAAGATCCTGGTCGTCGTCTATGCTAAACACAGGATCGTTTCGTATCTTCTTATTGTAATCGGATTCTTTGCCGTTTTTTCTCTCTGTATTACTATTGGCACTCGCCGACGGGTTGACGATGTAATCAAAGAGCTTTCCCTTGACTTCCAGGCTTTTAAGTTTCATAGCCTGACCGATTTTTCCAAAAATATCTGAATTGTTATTTTTGAATCGCGCTGGGCTGGCTTCGTTAGAATTAGTTTCCGATATGTTGGTATTGCATACCAAACAGTGCTGGGAATTGTGGTCCACGAGGTTCGTTACAACTTCGTCGCCGAAGTATTCATGGATCGCTACGAAAAAAAAATGGAAACACCATGAATATAATATGTAACCTGTGCGTCCGAAAAGCGTCTAAAGGCGTCCGACGTTTGGCTCAACATTGCCTTCATGCAGCATTATATTTCGCTACATGTCAAAAGGGGTCCATACTCAAAGGGTTAACTTCTCTTTACGAAAACTTGACGATTACCCCTGTTTCAAAGAATTGTTAAACAGTTGCTTTTAATCATTAGGCTAACCTTGATATCCGGAAGCTACCATACTGACGTACTGCGTATGCTTTTGTAGAAACGAAGCGACGACCATATGTGTATATTGGTCCTCTTCCTGACGACCACTTCCCAGAAAACAGAGATGCTCCCCACCTGCTTGGGAGCCAACAGCAAGGGCTTGACGCTGTGCCTGCAGCAATCCCTGCACTGCCGTGGCAAAGGCTGCAGGCTCCTGAAGCATCTGAATTGCAAAACGAGATAGAAGTATTAATTATATAAAACAAACAATAATTCTTATTACACACTAAATTTTATTAACGTCAAACTACACTAACGACAACACGAACTAACATTTACTTAAATAGTTATGGTGTTAATAAAGTCAGGTGTGTCGCTTTTTTTTCAATTGAATTAAAACACAACATACCAAATTACAGTCAAGATGAAAAGCTGTTGGCAAATGTCCAGCATTGTACTGTTCAGCAGGTCGGCAATCCACCAAAAAGAATCTGACAGGTTCTACAGGCCCATTAGGGTTGGACGGAACTTCAACAGCATTCTCTATTAACTCGTGTGCAGAAACTGGCAAACACAATGCATGAGAGATAAACTTCTCATCCCCTCCTTCGCCAAACATAATAGAGTACAAGTCTTGCTTAAAGGACGATGGGGTTTTCATTGCGTAATACTGTGCCAGAGAACAGAAATCCGTCACATCCTCAGCTTTCAGATCACAGGGCAATGCTGTGAGAATATCTATGATATTTTGTTTGTCGATGTCTTTCATTTTTAATATCTGATCTCTAAAAGAATTTAGCAAATCTTCGGTTAATACACATTGTTAAACATTTCATTGAAATTTTGCATTATCTTTCTAAATAACATATTCGATAAGAACATTTTTAGATTAAAAATTTCATTACCTTGCATTAATTACTATGATGAGAGAGAGAAACATCATGAAGAAAGGATCGGCTTGCATGAAATACAGGTCCCACATAGTGCTCACTGCTGGTAAAGAACATACCTCGGCAAACAACGTGTTCACCCATCCTTTTGTATATTGGTCGGGTGAGACTCTTTTGGTGTCAAGGAAAGAACACAATTCCGGATCATGGTAAAGAAGTAGCAGTCGCAGGACAGAACTATGCGTATCTCCCCTGGAAGAAGAAAGATTAAGATTAGATTAACACGAAAGGATGATTCACTGGTTGCATCATTTTGTGAATTTAACGTGAAAACTATGTTCTAAATTGTGAAGTTACCTTGGCACGTAGACGTCTCTGATCGCTTCAAAAAGATTATAGGTAGCAGTACGGGGTAATTTTAGAGCTATTAAGGGACCCAATAACTCGAGCCAACCATTTCCCCTTTGGTATTGTTTATTCCTATTTTTGCAATAAAATGTCAATATCGACTCCAAGTCCGACACAACGGATACCTTATCCTCGTCATCGTTCCCAAGTTTGGCTGTGACACATTTAAAAGACCTCTAAATACATTATTTTATACTTTTTCAACTAAACTAAATTAAGTTTTTCAACAAACAAATCTAGTATGACAATAATAACGAATAAGATAAAACAGAACATTCACCGACTAGTTGCTGGCAATCCTCACGTAAGACATTCTGCTCGGGCAAGTCAAAAACCTCATTAAAGTGAATCAGCTGATCACCTCTATCGGTGACATCCAAGCACAGTTGCCAAACATCCGGTCTTAGACGCGAAGGTACTGGCTGACCTTTAGAAATAGCATAGATGTCCGAAGCAGAAGGTGCTTCCGCATCCAGCAAAGCTGCTTCTAATTCTAATACCCTGGAATATTCAATATTTTATTCCAATTTTTCTAGTATATACCAATTAAATTGTGTTAACTTTTAACCCCTTGCTGTATAAGGTAGCATGGCACTGCATTTCTTTACGAGTTTCACTTTACCTTTACTTAATATAGTTGTGCTTTATCATATAGGTTTTTTAAATCATGAAAGTGTCAATAAATATAACATAAACATTCCTAGAAATGTTTGAAACAAAATAAATTACACTTAGAAGAATTATGATTACGATTGCTATTAAGCAATTAGTCACTGATCTAGATGTCATTAATATCACATCTAGGTCAAAACATGTAATATGTTGGATGGCATAAATATTTACAAATACAATAAGTCAATCGCTTAACTATTTGCATAAGAGAGATGACTTAGTTGCCAATGGTAATTCGAATGGTAAAGACATTAAGTATAAAGGATTAAATATAAGGAAAAATTGTTTTACCCAATGATGAATTCGGTATATATGTTAAAAGTTTGTTACTGATAACTGTGTCCATCTTTATAAAGTTTTCGTTATAAAGCGTTTTACCTCAATACATTAAAAAATTTATTATATAATAACACTGGCTCGATAACTAATCTCTTTATTGCAATCAAATTATGATTTCTGTAACTTATTTATTAATTGTAAATATTGCATTGTTATATAAATATTACATGTTTAAATCTATTATCCCTAGGGAAGCGATGCAAATAAAACAACAGCAACATTACTTAGATGTCACCAGCAAAAGTATAAATTGACAACGGTAAGATTTTGTATTCATAAGCAGTTACAGAAATACTATTGTTCACATATAGATGTTAATTCGATGCTATAAAGAACTACCAGTGGTTTTAGTCGTTTAATTGAATCAAACTTCAGTTATTACCAAAAGGTATACAACATTTTTAACAATAATTCAAAAGTACCAATAACAATACATCAGAACAGTGTAGAAAAAAAAAGTATCCCTACAAAAAGTCATTATGATATAGTATATATAAAATATATAAAAATTATTATTGGACTTTCTTATATAGAGATTGTTTTAGAACCCAAATGAATTCTTTTGATAATGAAATATAATTAAAATAAAACTCACACTGCAAATTTGATTACTATAATTTTTTAACGTGTCAGACATTCATATCGAAGGTGTATTTCTGAAGTACACGAAGCGCATACAGTACCCGCTGTGTCCTGCTACAGTGAAATTGGTGACAACTTAACAAGATACCATGACATCTATTTGAATTTATGAATTGCAGTTATAAGAGACAACTGAGCAAAGGTGGTGTAACCAGTAATGTGGAAGAAGTTATTCATACCAAGTGTTTTCTTCCTCCTCCAGTGCCATTTTTGTCAACGTTACTGTTGTGTCTTTAGGGCGCAAATCAGATCCTTCGAAAATTGTATAAGGTTGTTTCACGGTGGCTCGGCATTATTCAAGGAAATCCCACGTATAGTTTCAGCTCTCTGCATTCGTCCAAATTCTTCCGATAGTTAAGATACTACCTGGCGACGTCGTCAGCGATAAAAGTTATGAAATCCTTTCTCGTGTCGATAGAACCGATGAATTCCAACGTCTCCTAGAAGTCCACTATTTGGTTAGAATGCGTGGTATCCAAAATAGTTTCGATCCACGGCGCTTGGTTGAGCCACTGTTCACAAAAATGAGTTTTGCCCATGGACGTAAGCAGAGTTAGGTAATTTTGCATTTTTCAACGTTTTTGACGTATATTACGTAAACCATGTAGTTTATCGTAGAAAATCGTAAAAGATCAGTAAATTACGTTTCGAATATCAAGAATGTCGAAGATGTGTGAGATACGGCATCCGTTAGATTATGAACGTCTTTTAAAACACATGTAAACTCGGAAATATTTTTAAAGAATGACTATGTCTCCATCGTACGCAAAATCCGGAATTTATATCGAGTCCGGACACAGTAAATCCGAATTTAAGTGTCGATCGAGACGTTCAGGATCGAATCTACGTAATTTTGAATGCGATGGAGACGTGCGATTCATTGGATTCGGACCCAATAAATCCCGGACTGAGGAGTACGATGGAGATGTAGTCGTTGGAATCGGGCCTAATAGCGGGTTCACACGACACAGCATCGCTGTGTAGACCAAAGTCGATGTCGTGTGGACCCGCTATAAAATTTTGTGAAGTGATAAGCACCACCGAAGTCAAGGTAGTCGGCACAAGTCGGCAGTAGTCGGGGTATCTATAAGTTACGATGGAGGAGAAGGAATCGGGGAAATGGGATATTGTTATCCCAATATGTATGAATATGATAATGTCGATAGTGGCATATTTTTTAACGGTACGCCTAATTCCCAGAGTGAAAGACACTTTCATCAAAGCTAACTTATACGGGATAGACTTGAATAAAAGGAGCAGCGAAAAGGTGTAAGTGTCTGTTTAAAATAATAAATACGAAGTGCATTGTTATTTTACACCCAATTCGTTTAAGTAGAAGTATAAGATATATGCTGTTATTTCTTTGATAAATTTTTCAAGTGGTTTTTAATATGTGTAAATCATATTTCTAATTCAACTGAGGTAAAAAATCAATTATTAAACTTAATGAACAGGTAAAAATAATCCATTATTTACTAATTATTTGAATTTTATTCAATCCTCGCAGACCAGAGGCACTGGGTGTTATTAGTGGATGCACGTTTCTTATAACATTGTTTCTTTTTATTCCAATACCTTTCGGAGAGTATTTATTCCACCAGGTGAATTTTCCACATCATGAGGTATGATCAAATGATTTACTTCTATTTCTGAAAAGCATGCAATGTACGATAACGTAAAGTTCTTATTCATTACAGTTCGTTGATATGCTAGCAGCGTTACTTTCTATATGTTGTATGCTGTTATTGGGTTTTGCGGATGACGTCTTGGATTTGCAATGGAGGCATAAGCTGCTTCTACCTACTATCGCATCACTGCCATTATTAATGGTATACTATGTTAATTTCAATTCTACTATGATCATAGTACCAAAACCGTTGAGGTCGTGGTTTGGATTTACCATTGACTTGGGGATAGTATACTATTTATACATGGGGATGCTTGCTGTGTTTTGTACAAATGCCATAAACATTCTCGCTGGTATTAATGGACTGGAAGTTGGACAAAGTTTGGTGATAGCTACAAGCATAGCTATATTTAATTTCATCGAGTTATCTGGTGACCTGTGGAAGGCTCATCGATTCTCCCTCTACTTTGTACTGCCATACATAATGACCTCGCTTGCTCTCTTCAGATATAATCGGTAAGTACCTATCAGATATAAAATGTTTCAAAAAGAGTTTTAATATGTATATTGTGTCAATAATTATCACAAAGTTCTATAAGGCATAAGTGCTGCCCATAAAGTACAGCACTCCATCAAGAAGAATGCTATAGTAAAAGTATTTAGGTAATAAGTCAAAGAAGATAATATAAAGGATTTCAGAGATAGGTAACCAAAGGTAGAAGTGGTAAGGTTATAAATTCGTTTATATGTTGTATACCCATACAAATATGATCCAACGTCCATGATTTAATGAGGGTATCAATCAAGTGCGCGCACGCACGCCTGTAAATTCAATGTATATAATATGTACCATAAGTGTTGCGTAGTGAGAATATGAATTAATATCACAGCAGGAAGTACCCCAAATGAGTTCAGTAGTAGTCGAGCTTGGCATAAAAGTTCTCAAGTAGCCAATCATACTTCCATGAGTTATTAAGAACTGCTTCTGGGGCATAATACTGGTCCTGGGACTTGTACGGCCTGAGTAGACTAGTCTTGCCATCGAGCCAGGTGCCGGTGCCAATAAGATCTTCCACAAAGGGAATGTCGATATTCCTTTGAAAGTGCATCTCGTTCGATTCAGTCTTGCGCCTGATATAGGTCAGAATATGAGCAGAGCCCCGGCATAGAAAACAGTACCATCCACCGTAGTGGTTTAAGTCTCCAATTACCAAGCCCAACACATCTCTGTCACTGGCCTCGCCACCCAATTCTTTTGGCAGGAGTAACGAATCGGAGAGATAGGCCCGGTGTGTCAGACTTATGGTACAGGCTCCCACAGTGATTAACGTTTTTAATGGGTGCTGCCAAAAAAACCCATAGACTGACCATCTAAGTCGAAAACCTATAGGTTGGGGCCATCCGTCGTATAGCTTCAGGAACATAAGAGCTCGCTTGTTCAGTACCTGTTCGGCGTCAGTTGTCACGTAGACATCGTCCTCTCTCAAATTCCTCACTACCGCATTAATAGAATCCCAAATGTGCCTCGATATGACCCTCGATGGCCTTCGAGCTTCTTCGCTTACATCTACGTACAATATCTTGTCCTGCTCCCGCTTTAGCAAACCCTTGTTTAATCGGTGCCTGAAGTTGTCTTCGGCTTGACTAAAATCACATATCACAAAGAGATCCACTACGCTGTACAATTCCTCAACCGTAGCCTCGGCTATAGCTACATCATGGTTATCCACTGAGAACATGTGAATGAGGCGCCTTGGCATCCTGCGGAGCCTTAACTTAATGGTCTGCTTCGAAGCCATGATGGCTCGCCATACCACCTCGGGCTGGCCACAGTCTGAGCCATGCCAACCTTGCTTACAAACGCACTTCTCTAATTTATCACTGAATTGGAAACTTCTTGCTCTCTGATTGGCAGTCCCTTCTCGAAAACACAGAGTATGATTGTGTCTCACAAAAAGCTCGGATGTAGTCGAGTCTTTCAACAACGTCTCTCCATTGATTGTCTTGTAGTTACGAGATGGTTTGCGAGTACTCTGCTGCTTTGATTTAACCTGGAAATGAATTGCGACAGTATGGTGACTCTGCCATATTAAAGGGAACACTGTTTATAAAAAGATATTTACAAGCATTATGTATGCTCTGTGTATGTAACTTTTTGCTTGCTTTATACCTGGGATACTTGGAACTTGACAAAGCTGACAGGGCTTCGGGAGGTTGGTGTGCCCAGTTCGGATGGTGGTGTAGTTGCCACATATATCACGACGATAAGGACCTGTAAGACCAGTAAGGTGTACAGCAAAACCAGCTTCCCGTCTAAACGGGACTGCATGGCACTGATCTTTCCTCGTACCTGGCCTATTAATGTTACATTTCAACTGGTTCTTGAAGGGTTTGGCCTCACCTGAAGTAGACCAAAATTAAAATTTACTATTTCTTTACTTTCATTATTTATATTAGTCCTCAGAATATTTTCCTAACGGAATTGTCAAAACGATGTTTATTCTACATTTAATTGTACCTTGGCACTCATTTATATCTATTGATTTCAAAGTTAAGCTTCTTCGTTTTTGTATCACGTTAAGGACATTATATTTTGCAAACCATGATACTTTTAATATTTTGTTCCACCATTTTCAAGGTATGTCGTATTTTAGTATTATAATCCTACTTTCATTAGCTTACAGTTAGAAATCATGAATTCTCAAGGTTATTTCATTATATCTTTTCGACTTATCTACCGTATTTCAACGTTAGAAATTTCTTTCATTGCTTCAAATTGAAGAGTCTTAATTCTGAGAATCGGGTTAATTATTTGTCTTGTTCTTAGTTATCTTATTTTTTCGATTTGTCATATTTCAAGGTTAGGACCTTCGGTTCATTCGGTCAAGGTCGGGGGTGGAAAGTCATGTGTCGTTACCTTTTCACTTGCTATATTGCAATAAAATTACATGTAACGAAACGTTTCGATTGGTTATAAATAGGAAGGTATCTATCATGGATGATTCAAAAAGAATTGCGAACCAATCAGGATGTTTTGCGGCAAGTGAAAAGGTAACTTAAAGGTTAAAGGTACCTTTTCACTTACCGTATTGCTGTAAAATTACTCGCAGAAAATGGCTCAATTCTTTTTGTACCACCCATTTAGGGTCGGTTCCACAACTCGAGTTTATTGGAATTTAATTGGTTTACAGGAGATTTAAACCTGGTGTAAACTAGTTAAACTCTGGTCAACTCGAGTCGTGTAATCGGACCATATTCTAACATATATTGGTTTCATAACTACTGGTATTAAGCGATGTGTAAACGCTGTTTTACTTCGGTTTGACTGATAATATCGACTTAAGGAGATACTGAAATCGATTACCCTTATTACCGCGGATTATCGATTCACTTAGCGTACCTTAATTAGAAAATTAAAAGCATCGTAGATCATTTACATCGGTATGAGATGTTTTAGTCATGTGGGATTGGAGTTCTCTCATTTTCCACAAGCAGCGCTAGTATCGTCGGATTAGCGAAAATTTGAGATCGTGGGTCCCAATTTTGGGGTCACTTTCCATGGAATCGACCATTGGTGTTATGTCTCCATATACTACTTTATGATGGTTCCGGCTTACACGCGAGGAAATGTGGAATGCGTTTAGGGGACCCACTTCCGATGACCTAGATGTTGACATATGTTGTCAAGGTTATCCGAGTGACCTCCACAAGGTTTCAGTCGTCGCTCGTTATTTGTTAAGAAGTTATTAACTAAATTCTAATGAGTTGAACGTATGTTTTCGATATTGAGTATACATTTAAAGACTTAGAATATAAGACGGTAAACTATGTACGTGATTTTATGGATCCTGAAAATAGACCTCATACTCAAAATGTACAAAGATTGTGGAGAGATATCTGAAGAACTATCCCTCATTATGAGTTATTGTCATTTTAGGCATTATTTATTTGAATGCTTATTTAAACGAAGATACTATTTCGGTGAACGTATTAACGCTTTCTTAAAAATTGTGAATTCGATATATTCAGTAGAAAATAATATTTTATGTATTGTAGCTAATAAATGGCAGGCTACCTCACGGCAGCCGGATTCTAACTATTAACCTAACCTAACATAAATGAACTAAAATCGTTTTAGAACAGTCGACAATATGAACTTTATATACCGTATTTCTATTGTTTGGAACGATTTAATTTAAGTTAATTAAAGTTAGGTTAAGTTAATAGTTCGGATCCGGTCGCCTCGTTACGGCCGGCCAGCAATTATCTGCAGTAATATACGAGTCTTTAAATGTATATTAAAAAACGAGATACAAACAAACAACAAGTGACGGCTAAAACATTGTAGAGGTCACTCAGCAGTGTGACCTTGACAACACATGTCCAAAAGTACAGTACTAGTTTTTCTTACTAAGTGAAGCACAGCCAATCAATCGCGTTCCCCAACGGAAGGCATAACGGCTGCTGCGACGTAGCACCGGCTGAAACACTAATAAACTTACGTACGTGTCTAAATGATAATTAATATAAATTAATTTGGGGGTGAAAGTATCATGAAGGTTAAAAGTGCATTGCATTTAAAATATTATTTGATCGCGCGTTAACCGAAGTAAGCTAGAGTGACTAGGGTGTGCTGGGAAAATGTGTTATAATTAAGTTGAGACATTAAATAAATGATGCATAGTAATTAAGTTTGGACAATAAATAAATTATGTGCATTAATTTAGTTGGGACATCGAGTAAATTATGTGTAGTTATTAAGTTGAATTGGTATTATAAGTAATTAGGGATGAACACCAACAAAATATCGATACCTTTATTTATTACTTGCGGGGAAAAAAAGTATCGATATATAATTCAGTATCGTAGAAGAAGTATCGATATGCATTGAGTATTCGCAAGTACCTTCTTATTATGTCTATCCAATTTCATACGAGTACTTTTCACTGAGATCGATCGAAGTCAAGAGTATCGGTGAAAAGTACTCGATATCAAAGCGAAGTACCGAATACTCATAACTACTTGTATCGGTTTATCCCTGTGAACAATTTAAATTGTATTAAATATGAATAATTCTCTTCCGAATAAACAGACATTATTTTGATAAATTAACTATATTTATTTAATTAGATGATTACAGCTGATAAAAACAATTTTTACCGCTACCGACAGTATTTGATATTTATATTCATTTTGTTCTTTTGTTAGGGCATCGGTAATAATTACAATTCTTACTGCTATTTATTTTAAAGTTATTTAAATATTCAGAATGTAAATATATGCATTCAAATGCTCCATTATTTTTGCATTAGTGATCGATATCGACACAGATATCCCTAGGGTCTAAGCCATGGTATAAAGGAGACGAGGTGTGCCATTATGCAGCCCTTTTGACAGTCAGTTATAGCGTATGTCCAAACGGTAACCAAAGGGTTTACTCCCCAACCAATGACACGTTAAATGTATTGCGATATGACGGCGTTTTAAAAAATGAGACCTTCACGGGAGTCCGCCTTGTTCTCTTTGAATCATGGTCTAGGTGAAACGGTCGATTACACGAGAGTCCCACGTCTCCTTTAGATGGTTCGTAGTCAGTAGTTTCTTTTATTAGATCCTCTACTATTGTATAACACACTTTTTAATCCCTATATCTTTAAATCGACATTTCTAAATACGGTACAGTTTCTTTTCTGAGATTTCTTAGCGATGCAGACTCTCGACATATTCATTGTAGTCCCGCTTGAAATTCTGCGACGGGGTTCGTCGGAAACCTCCCGCATCTTGATGACCCATTCAAAATCGATAAAGCGAAAAAAGAAGTATATATCCCCTTCTGGCCCTTTCCTTCCTTTCCGTTCTATCTTCTGTAATTTAACTTGTACTAACAATGATTCGTACAAAATCATTAACATTTACGGTTTTCGGCTTGTTTACGTACTCTCATTAATTCGACGAAACTCGAAAAATCTCGCAGATAATTTTTCAGTTCTGCAAACATCACCGGTCATCTAAAGGAACGGATTCCTCTTCTATTCACCCTCATCGATAGTTAATAATCAACATAAGATGTTAATACACACGTATATAGTTCTCAAAATCATTTGTAATCGATATAAACTACCCAGGGATCCCGCGATTTCAATGATGCGTAATAGTTCGGTGACGTCTCTTTGTACGGAAGAAACCGATCTCCGAGGGTGGATCCCTTCCCATTTTCGTCTATCGTTAAAATAAGACGATAACACATTTATTTTCTTTTACAATTAACATCGGATGATCGATAGTAATTGTTAATATGAAAGTTTCACGTGAGAGTCCCTAAAGCGATTTGGAACCGATAGGAACCGCGAGGAAAATCTGCGTTTCTAATAATGCACCCTAGGTGGACGACATGAGACGATCGAGAACACGACCGAACCCGACCGAACCCGACTGAAACCGACTGGATTCTCGGGATCTTCGGGGACTTTGGGAATCGGCGACTCACCGATCCGAGGCGACCTCTCTCAGCCGGCGCGGCTACCGGTCGACCGGTCTCGTTAATTGCGGCTGCGGCGGCATGGTCTCTTCGGCTCCCCTGGAGCGCCGGCTACCGTCTGGGTCCAGGGTCAACCACACCCGAAACCGGCGGCGCCCAGCGGCGCCCAGCGGCGCCTCGACCGGCGCGTCGCGGCGACGCCGCGAGGCGCACGCGTCGCTCGCCGTCGCGGCGGTCTCTTCTCTCTGCGAGATAAGCCGAAAGAGTCAGTCTATATATATCTCCGAGAAGTCAAATCGCTGGGGAAAGTATTCTCCGAATTGGGGGGACCGATTCGTTTCAAACTTTTACCACGGGAATATATCGCGGCCCTAAAGTGAGCCCCGAAGCTCATGGAATTTCATTCTTCATACAAAATTTATTTATTTATCATGGTCCAGGCACGCTTTCGAAGTTTAACGCTTCTTGGAGGTTTAGAATCGAAAATGATGAGTTTCAGGACCTAGCTCGAACAATTTAGAAAACCGTAGAAATGGAATATTACGGAGTCAGATGGGAAAATATGAAAAATACTTTTACCGATGAGATTGGAAGAGAATACTGGCTTCTCTCGGGGCTAACGCGTGTTCTTAGAGTAAACGATTTAGTTGCAGCTAAACGTCACAGATGGCGACGTTGGTCATAAACGGTCGTTAGAATAATGAATTCACGGGATTTCGACAGTTTTACGTCGATCACTTTATCGTTACTTTATCGAAATGACATATGGAAAGCTTCAGTTGGTATAATTCTCAACGTAAATTGTAAAAGACTTCAATATAAATATAAATGTCGGTAACGCGACGCACCAGCTTGTGTTTCCACTTGAGTATTGAAAATGGCTTTACCACCAAAAAGGGTATAGATGAATTTCGTTTTATTGACGTCGATTAAATTTCAAATCAGTTGATTCGAATAAGACCCTTTTCAAAATATAGATATATAGAATATATAATAGATAGAATATTTCAAAATAATAGACACTTTCAAAATTGGAATTTTCGAAATCATTTTTTTTGTCTTAGTCTAGAGACCAGGACTAAAATGGCGTCGAGCTGTCAGATTTCGATCAATATACAATTATTGGAGGTTCTGACGTGAAAAACCAAAAGTGTCGGGATATTTGTTCAACGACTTAGAAAATTTTTGTAATCGAGAAACTCGCATTCGAACAAGATAAAAGCATAAAATGTCGTATGAGCTTCTCTATTAGGGGGACCAGAAAGTAATGTCGTTTCTGCGCATTGAATTTAATGTAAGAAAACGACATTACTTTCCGGTCCCCCTAATGCTAACACGAAGGTAACACGAGGTCTCGAAATGAACATCTAGTTGGCACTAAATGCCGTAGGATGGTACTTCGTAGTCAATTATGGCCTCAATAGCCATGATTCCAGGGGATTTTAGCAATTATATTCCCATTTCCTTGTTATCATTATACGAAAACGTCGCATGAAGTTTGCTCTTTAGTACAATACCCAATGTAATTCGACACAGCTGTCAATATAAGTACGAACGTCGATAACTTAAGTACTTAGAAGAATATTTTTTACCAATGTCGATCACATTTCTCGACGGGTTTCACTTTACCTTAAAGGTACCAGTAAAAAAAATTGTCTTTCAACAGATACCCTTCGCAAGTGTTCGTAGGGGACACATTCTGCTATTTGTCGGGTATGACATTTGCCGTGGTCGGCATCATTGGCCATTTTAGCAAGACTGCGATCCTTTTCTTCATACCGCAGATATTGAACTTCCTGTACAGCGTACCACAATTATTCCACCTACTGCCCTGTCCACGTCACAGGATACCAAAGTAAGTTTCAAAGTACAAATATAACCGTAACATCGAGTATGTATAGAATCAGCTTAAAAAAAATGATTTGTTATTTCCATGAGTTCCCGGGTATGCACTATATGTCCACGGTACGTGTGTCCCGCACAGTTCACGCTCGAGCACTGACCGATCAAATTATGAAAAATATCGTTAATTATTATGTGATGGTAAAAGTATCGAATATCGTGGAGTCGCATAGTAATGCCAGTAAACCGTTCACGGTCGTAGGTTAGATACTTCTGTTATAAAGGTTATTATTACCTGTTCAAGTAGAGCATTAATAATAATTATTGTTGTCCCAATGTGTAGATACAATATGGAAACTGGAAAACTTGATCCTAGCGTCACAGTTTTCAACATGGCCGATTTAAATCCCGTAGGTATGTCGATATTTATGTTTTTAAAGTTTTCCAAAGGTTTAGTCTTTACGGTATATTAAGCAGCATCGTTTTATGGTTACGATAAATTGTTTATTAACTTTGTTAGCCAGATTAATCATGTGGATGTTCAAAATGTTGCGGTTAGTCAGATGGCAGGAAAGTAATGGCGTGGTCACGTGCAATAATTTAACGTTAATCAACTTTTTCTTGATCCTGATTGGCCCTACAAAGGAACCTGCTCTCACCAGAATGCTCATGTACTTCCAGGTAACTCGTATTGCAAACATTCAAAGCATTCCTTCTAATTGTATGCGTTCTAATATGTCTTCGACTCCAGGTGTTTTGCAGTTTATTGGCCTTTACTATAAGGTATCCTCTTGCCTCCATATTTTACGACGTTTGAAAGAATAAAAAGCAGAGGGTTCCTAAAAATCCTGGATTCATTACGTGGTGCGACAAGTAAATCGAATACACCTAAAGCTGCGATAAATAAGGCTAATGTATCTAATGCTGTGACTAATTCAATATGTTACATAGGTTAATTATTTTCCTTTACACGGAAAACGTATACCAAAACTAGCAAGATATTATGGAGCCTAAATTACGTTTGGAGCCGGTATAAATTTGGTATGAATTTGATTGTATGATGTGGGAAAAATATTTAAAAAACATAGAACTATATGTACATCTGCATTTACTAAAGCGCTGTTTTCGTGCGTATGTATGAATAAGTGTACGTATGAATGAATGTATGTATGTACGTATGCATGTATGTATGTGTCACGAACAAAGGTAACGCTTTTTCGGCGGGTTCCGGTTCATATTTTGAAAATCGCCGATACATGTCCCTTCTAAATCGAGGTTGAGAATGTCAAAAGTTTCATCGGATGAAAAAAATTCCGATCGCATGATCGAGATTCGGTGATTGGTTGAAGAAACTCGGCGCAATTGAGCCACTGCAAAGAGCCGTGTGCGTCTGCACTCGGGATATATCTAGTATGTTATTATTAAGACCCAAAATCCGTGAAAACCCATTTTAACTAGAAATAATATGGAGTCTTTCTTAAACCTAGTTCCGATTAGACATAACGCCATGTGACGAATCACTTTTATGAAAATCCGAATGCTGCACATTTTGAAGCTGATTCAAAATGATTGAAATATACGGTGTAATTCGAAGAACTGACGATTCCAATAAATGAAGCCAAAAATCGTGTGAATTAAACAGTGAATTAGAGAAATATCTTTACAGATTGTAAATCCCCACCAAACTGCGTTACAGTTACACGACACTGAAATAATATTATATAATAAATATTATACAATATCGAATGATTATCATTCCTTAACGTTGTTACAAATCTGTCAGCGTTGCTGTTAGGAATTAATGAGATTATTAAGATTTATATTATCAAAATGAGCTAAAAGTGCAATTTGCATGTTTAATTTGTACCTGTACTTTTTTTAGTGTAACACCTTGACGAATTTTTACTCATCTCAGAAAACTCGCGGTGCCTAAAAATTGGAGATTTTTATTTCCTTTTCCAGGAATTCTGGCATCTTCTTCTGCCCACTCTTCACGACGTTTCTTTGGAACGTCATGACAATGTTGCGATGAGCTTGATGCGTGATCTGCAAATAAAATCTTCGCCAAAGAAGAGCATTAGTTTCCACAGCCTTCGTCCAATCGTGCCACTGTCCACGAGTGACGGTTTTCCCTTTCATGTCTTCGGCTTCTCTTATGGTGTTTCGGATCCAGTTCTGCCAATTTCTTGCCGAATCGCTGAGAGTATCGATCCACTTTGACCAGTCTCTAATCTCAGCGGATTCGACTTCCGCTGGATTTGCGTCGAAGAAAACTGTCCGAGAGTCCGAGAGCACCCTCTTCAGCCACAAGGCGACCTTCCCCGACACGAGAGATATCAAACTCTTCAAGTTCTCCGTCAGCATCTTTGGGTTTTCCGCAGCAACGATGGCGGTAAACTTTTCAAAAATCGCGCGATGGATGCGATTCGTCACTGGATCGTCCCCAGGGCTTTCCTTCTCGTTTTCCACCATTAGGTGTATAGTCTTCAGGATCGTCCCCACGGTCAAAAATGGGATGTCGGTCTTGAAGATGTTCGCAAAATCGCCGATAACCTCTGATTTCGGTATTTCTTCAACCACTTCCCCTTCTACGGGCATTTCAGGAGCCTCTTCCGTGGGAGGCCTCTCAACCTGAACCTCTTCAATTTCTTCAACTTCTTCAAGGACTTCTACCGGAACCTCGCCGACCATCGGCACCTCTTCGATCGGTGAAACGGAGTCCAGTATATCTTGAAGAGGAATTCTTCTATCGGCTGGAATTCCTTCTTGTGGAGATTCTTCAAGAACTTCAAAGGATCTACGTTGCTGAGAAAGAATTTCTACAGATGGTGGTTGCTGAGGAAGAATTTCTACAGATGGTGGTTGCTCAGGAAGAATTTCTACGGATGGTGGTTGCTGAGGAAGGATTTCTACCGATGGCGGTTGCTGGGGGAGGATTTCTACCGACGGTGGTTGTTGGGGAAGGATTTCTACCGATGGTGGTTGCTGGGGAAGAATTTCCACCGATGGAGGTTGCTGGGGAAGAATTTCCACCGATGGAGGTTGCTGAGCAAGGACTTCTACGGATGGTGTTTCCGTAGTAACAATTCCTTCCGCCTCTTCAGATTGCTTTTCAACGTCCACTTCCACGACCTCCGTCTGTCCCTCTTCGACCGCTTCTTCATCCTGTGGTTCTTCAGGTACTGGCGCAGCTTCATCGGCATGCAGAGTTTCAGCTTCAGATTCTCCTGGCATCTCTTCGGCATCTTCAAAATCTGCGGTGCGATCGAGGGTCGTGTATAAAGCTTCCAACCGTTCGCCTTCATCTTCGGTTTCTCCACCCGCTGCTTTCTCGCCTTCTTCAAGTTCCTCCTCTCTTAGGTCCCTTGACTCTGCTTCGGGTTTTCCCTGTTTTCCTGCTTCTTCTTTCCTCTTCTCGTCCTTCTTTTTAGCCTCCTTCTCGCGTTTATCTTCGTCTTCGTCTTCGTCTTCGTCTATAGACTCTTTTTCCGCATCAGAGGCCTTCGTTTCTTCTTCTTCATCGGACTCCGATTCTTCTTCGGTTTCCGCCTCCTTCTCCAATTTCCTCCTCTTGCACTCCTCTTCTATCTCGCTTCTGTGAGCCTCGGCGACCTCGAAGAGCACCCCGGAAATCCAACGCGCAATTAAATCGGAAAGGAACCGCATTTGCTGCGACTTCCGGTCTTCATCTCCAACAGGAGTGTACTTCAAGATGCAGCTCAAACGCTTCAGAATAACTTCCGCGATGTCGCTGAACTCTTCCTTCGGAATCGGACACTTCCACTCCAAGATGCTCTTCACAAACCTTTCGGCCATTAAATATTGACAATTGACGGCGTCTTTGTCCAATAATGTCGTTCCAACTGCAGCGGGTTTCTTCGATTTCGTCCTACATTTATACTTCTTCCGATCCCTCGAGTTCCTGTTCTTCGAGCAGCGCTCTTTGTCTTTAAATAAATTTTCTGCCTGCCTAAAATGAAAAATTATCCGTGTAAACGTGTGAGATCGAAAAATAATCGTGCCTGTTTCTTTATAATTTTTGGAAAGCCTAATCGGACTATGCTTTACTCTGGTGTCATACAAGTCTCCCCTTCTAGGGTCTTGATAAGGTTATCCAATAAAGATGGCGGAAGAGAAGTTCCACGTTCTTCGAGGGTTGCCATTAGCCGATTTTTGGTAGGCTGTGCCATTTCTACGAGACGCATAGAAATTGGCCTTAACCTCCTAATTACTGGTTTTCGCTCGCACGATGGCTGGTATTTTCGCCTGTAAATTATCTCCAATTAAGGTGATACGAAATCCGCCTATACATATATTATATATGTGTCTGAGAGGTCAAATCGTTGGTGAAAGTATTATGCGAGTTGCGTGACCGATTCAAATTTTACCACTTGAATATGGAAAATATTATACGAACTGAAGTGTTCCATATGTAATTTCGGTAAAGTAATGATAAACAAGTTGATGGAAAACAATCGAAATCCCTTGAATTCATGACTGTTTATATTCTAACGGACCAACGTCGCCATCTGTTACGTTTAGCTGTAACTAAACGTTTGCTCTAAAGACACGCGTTAGCCTCGAGACAAGCCAGCATTCTCTTGCAATCATTGATGAAAGTATTTTCTATATTTTCTCTTCTGATTTCGTAATATTCAATTTCTACGGTTTTCTAAATTGTTCGAGCTAGGTCCTAAAACTCTTCGTTTTCAATTCTAAGCCCCCAAGAAGCGTAAATAATCGATAACTTGCACGGACCACGTCCTGTTGGTTCTAGTCCATGATAAATAATTTTCTTTACAAAAATTGAAATTTCATGAGTTTTCTAGGACCTACCTAAGGGCCTCCATGTTCAAGTGGTAAAATTTGAAACGAATCGGTACTCGCAATTCGGCGAATACTTTCCCCAACGGTTTGACTTCTTGGATATATATTGGCTGATTCTTTCATATCGCCTTAAAACATATTTTTTTGTGAAATATTTTGTAAAATCTAAGCTCTCGACTTTTTTCAAATATTCTTACTGAGGAGTCGCCAAAACGTCTATGTGTTCTTTTTTTGATAAACAATGGCGAGGAATAATTTCCGGCTTCGGTATTGGTGGCAGTTTGTCGAAAATAAAGACTGTCGCATTTTTGGATGCCTTTGCCATTTTTCCTCGTTTACTGCTGCAGCAGTCTCCTTTCGCCTTTACTGTCTTCTTTTTTGAAAAATATTTATATTAACGTAACTAAAGAAAGTAAGAGATTTATTTATACCTTATTCTTTTTTGGTGCATTTCTGTCGACACATCTTTGTGGTTTGTCTCTTCTTTTCGCTATTTCAGTTTTATGGTTGACGCTCTCGTCAACTTCGCCTTTTTCGATTTCATTTTCGACCGGAGTCGCTTTTTGTACGTCTTCGGGTTCGTCTTCGTTCTCCTCCATATTTTGAAGTGCTAGGTACCTTTGTATTTCAGTTGATTCTCTGTTAAGTCATCTTTTTCTTCATTTTTTGTATCGAATGTCTAATAACAGGCTTAGAGGGAGTTTTTACGGGTGGAGAAATTTCCTTTCCTTGGTAACGGGTTGAAGTTACTTTAATTAATTATCTTAGAATTTTGCAGCCGAAAGGAAAGATTTACTTTAGAATTTTCGAAATATCTTTCACATTTTGCCGGGTCGCGAGGTGAGAGTTTGTTTCGCGAAGTTCGCTAGTTTTTGTTTTTTCGGGTTTGTATAGTGAAGCGAAGCACATTTTAAAAAATGCACATGGGTACGTTCGTAAGACAAAGTAGTATAAGAAGATCCAACGCCATGAATTGAAATCGTCCTCACTTTAGGGCAAAGATGAGTTGGGAGATTGTTCACGAACTGGTCGCGCGATCACGTCCCGTGCTGTCCTCGGTGAAGAATGCGAGCGGCTCGCACTTCCCACCTGATATCCTCCAGGGGCGGCTCAACTCATCTTTGTGATAACAAACATCCTTTAACATCTTTTAACATCTGTTACCAACAAGGCCAGCGAGCTCTACAGTGATGAACTACCCATGACAACTTGAAAGAAAAAATGGATCCTGTCAAGTGGTCGGCCTAAACCTGGAAAAGGGCACATAAGGACAGGCAGAACAGAACATTCAAAGAAATCCAGGAAATCCGAGATTAGATAGCGAATAAGTTACTAAAAGTCAAGAACATTAATGATGCATCGATCTCGTTAAATTTATTCAACTGGTATCTGTCATATCACTATGTATGCAAACATCCATTTAAATGCAGACTCGCCAAAATATAATCAAAATGATTGTTTGCCGTCTCTCCCCCGTCACTCCTGTCAAATTGACAGACAAAAAAAATGAGAGGGACAATGTGGCCAAAAAAGTAGATGGCAGTCCTTTAAAAAAAATGAAAGGCCATCGTAGTTGCCCTCTACTTCATGGGCTGCTTCGACGTATACATTCCTCGACGTGTTTGACTTCACCTTAAAATAAAACCCGCATTATTTCAGATTACTACATTTATATTAACATTAACAAAAATGTTTCCATGCTGTGTGGGAAAATATTTACGTGTTTTTACGTGTGTTAAAGGACGTGTGTATGTGTCATGCATATGTACGCGGTAATCGCTATATTGGTCATAATTTACTGTTTTTCTCCGTTCTCTACGGTAAATTATTTAATTCATAACAATCTTAATTTCAAAATATTTAAAATCGGCCTAAGTACGATATTTTATTAGCGCTGCAGCGATAAACGACGGAACGACGAAACACAAATAAGCAGAGTTCCGATTGGCTGCAGGGAAACAGTAAAATGGGGGAATTTCCGCTGTATGTTCTCTGCAGCCAATCAAATCTCTTATTCGCGCTTCGTCGCTCCGCTATTTGTCGCTGTAGCGCTAATGAAAATCAGCCCAAGAAGTGTCGTGCTCCCGAAGTTGGTTGAAGTGGTCGCGCGCGGTTTCGGCCGTTGGAAGTTTATTGGCCATAAACAATCGTTTATTTAATATTGTTTTCAGTTAACTTCGAACAACCTGATATCTCGTCGAAATGACACGCTGTCGGAGTTATCATGTCGAGATTCCAAACCATGAATAAAATTGATATGTCAAATTGAGAACAATCAGTGAGAAACAAAGTAGGTACGATTTCTGTTTAAACTTATGTTTTTATCGCAAGTCCGTTACCAGTGATTATGAATTAAATATTTCTACCAGAATTACAAGCTTCGAGTTTTATTGGTTCACAGAGGTTATATCGTGTCCGGCAACCGACAAAAAATCTTACCATCAAGATGGATCAGATGCTACCGAGTCCGGGCTTTAGCATTCCCAGCATCGGAACACCTTTACACCAACCCGAAGAGGATCAACAGATTTTACCCAATGCCCTCCAACAACAGCAACAGCAGCAGCAACAGCAACAGTCGCAGCAATATCAGCTGCAACAATTACATTCAATGAGTCCAAATATGCAAGGAAGCATGCTTATGATTTCTACCCCGCAAAAGACCATGCATACGTATGCACCGACTCCGGCATTTGCTACTCCACAAAGTCTCATGCAACCCCAAACTCCGGTATATTAATGTTAATTTATATTTCCAAATTGATTGTGTTAAGCGAATGGGAGTCTTTTTTCATTTAATATTCTTTCCACAGCAAAATATGATGTCTCCAATTGTACAACCATCGAGTCAAATTGCTCCGTCTTCCATTGGACCGTCCACACCAGGACCGATGACACCTATGACTCCAGCTTCCGCCGATCCAGGAATATTACCACAATTACAGTAAGTTTGGTATGAGGGAACTTTTAAGGGAATTCTAAATTCGATCTAATTTCAGGAATATTGTTTCGACTGTTAATTTAAACTGTAAATTGGACCTGAAGAAAATTGCATTGCATGCAAGAAACGCAGAGTACAATCCAAAGAGATTCGCAGCTGTAATTATGAGAATTCGAGAACCTAGGACAACGGCACTCATATTTAGCAGTGGAAAAATGGTCTGTACAGGGGCAAAGAGTGAAGAAGACTCGCGACTGGCAGCTAGAAAGTATGCACGTATTATACAAAAACTAGGTTTTGCGGTTAGTACATTGTTTTTAACTCAATAATTGTGCTTATAAGGTAGTTGTATAGTATAATTTACGTTCTTTTTAAAGGCTAAGTTCCTGGACTTTAAGATACAGAATATGGTAGGCAGCTGTGATGTTAAATTTCCAATTCGATTGGAAGGTTTAGTACTTACTCACGGTCAGTTTTCTTCATACGAACCGGAACTCTTCCCTGGACTGATATATCGAATGGTCAAGCCACGAATAGTCTTACTAATATTCGTGTCCGGCAAAGTAGTCCTCACAGGTGAGTCTTCCTAAGTTATATTTAAAAATTAATGAAACCTGCCTAATGTCGATTTTTTGTTATCTCTAGGAGCTAAAGTACGACAGGAGATTTACGAAGCATTTGATAATATTTATCCAATTCTCAAGAGTTTCAAGAAACAGTGACACAACGTTTTTTTTCGTTATCAAACCACAATGGTCTTATCGTTCATCCTTAGAGCAAGGATACCATGCCGAAAGCATGACAAGCCTTATAGTGCTTGTTATTACGTATTACTTAGGTAAGAGTTTACGGCAAAGAAAGAAATTCAACAACATTAGCAGTAACGAGCCTGTGAATTTCTGACTGCTATGTTGCTAGCTTTATTGTTTATTTAATGACATTTGTTAACCGAGACCTGAACGCTTGAACGAAAGAAAAGAAAAGAATCTATATAGGCCATATTTTTACAAGCTAGACAGCCGAAGATTCTCTACAGCTTACGGGAACGAAGTGTATAATATAGAGTTCGTGGCATTGTTTATTATTTCAAATAAGGAGTTTAGTTAGACAATGGCAGTCTGTAAAATGGTGACGAGATTTGGTGCGACAGCGAACTTACAGTAATCTAAGGTACAAAACTCCATACGATGGAGTTATTGTAATTTATGGTTTGTAAAATGTTTCCTAAGAAAAATAAAACTTGTACAGATCTTTCTCAACGTTGTATCATTCTAATTAGTTTCTTGAGTTTGTTCCGAAGTAGGATTGTATTCCTGTGCCTCCTCATCAATTTGTTCAATTCCTTCAAGTACCGGTATAACCTATAGAAGAATGTTAGTGTTAAATATTTATCCATGCCTTAAGGTGAGGTGAAACACCGAGAAATTTGCTCGACGGTGGTAAAAAAGATTCTTCTAAATATCTACGTAACCGACATTCATATTTCTATTGACAGCTTTTTCGAATTATATTGAATATTGTACTAAATGGCATATTCCATGTCTTTTCTATACAATAATTATAAAGAAATCGAAGTAAAATTCCATAAATCCTCTGGATTCATGGTTTCTGAGGCCCTAATTGACTGCAGAGGGACACCCTGCGCCATCTGTGATTTCCATGTCAACTAAATATTCACTCCAAGACACCATATTACCTTCGTTTTAGCTATCAGCGCATAAGACCCTTTTTTTTTCTTTTATCCCGTTCAAATGCGAGTTTATCTATTACCAGAGAGTTCTAAATTGTCGTACAATTGTCCTGACTCTTTTGTTTCCCATATTAGAGCCTTCAATGATTGTATATCAATCGAAATATGAGAGCTCGATGCCTTTTTGGTTCTGGTTTGGGCTGTTAAAAATTTATTTCAAAAATAAAAAATTTGACAGTGTCAGGACAATTCTTAGATGGTCACAAGTCATGTGTCAAAGTTTCAAATAGTTCGATTCATACCCTTAAAAAAGTGTCTTATTCGGATCGACTGATTTGAGGGGGGGGTTTACTTCACCTTAAAGCTGATATTCTGTTTTACCTCTGTAGCCTCGTGCTTTGTTTTTCTAAAAAGATTCATAAGACGTTCCTTTACAGTCGTTTTAGTTTCTTCATTAATATCTTGCGGTAAACAACTATCAAAGTATTCGATAGCAGCATCTGCATCGTTTAGTTCTAAAAGTTCCAGTGTATTATCTATCACTTCTGCCTCCATTTCACTGCCAATGCTTCGAAGTAATTCATTCAATTCACGTTTCAGATCTTGAATACTATCGTTTTCTTGATGCGTTTTATGGGTTTCTTTGCTGAGCCTGTAATTATATCATTCGTTGACATGAAAAAAAAAGAAAAAGAGAGAATTACCTTATCTCTGCAAATTGAATTATTAATCATAGAAACCTGGAAATAATATTGTGTAGGCTCTCTCGTATTATTTCGCGCGTTTCTGCTGCATCATCTTTATCATTCTGCGACAATATTGACATGATATCGTCGACACCTCGCTCGATATCAGCATATAATTCTTCCTCCGATCCTTGTAGTGATAAATTTGATATTACACTGTGCAACATTTCCTTTGTCTCTAATAACATTGTCTCATCTTCCACAGAAACCTCAATAATTCGAGACAACAAATTCCGTACCTGGAGAACATTTTAAATGGAAAATACCTTAGAATCCAACAAATCCAATAAAGTACAATGGCTAACCATCGTTGCTATAGTTGTATCATTGAACAACTCGGAGTGTGTGTATCTGGACCCTTCTTCCATCACCTCGTCCTTCCTATAATCTTCAACTTCTTCCATTCTGCTATAAGTATCATCTGTTCAAATGCAATAATGTTACATTTTAATGAGAATGGACAAAATTATTTAAGATCATACGAAAGGCGCTGAGAAATTTAATCAACGTTAGGCCTCCAAGAAGCGTCAAAGATCAAAGACGTGTACGAATTACACCATACTGGTTCTAGTTTATAATAAATAAATATATTATTGATAAGAAATGCAATTTCATAAGTTTCGGGATCTACCTCAACGCCTTCATATTTACGTGGTAAAATTGGAAACTAATCTGTACACCCAATTCGGGGAATATTTTCACGAACGATTTGATCACTCAGCTATATATAGGCTGACTCTTTCATATCACCTTAATCATACAAAGAATTTAATACAAAAATTTGCTCAATCTTAGCTCTACCTTCAAAGTCAGCGTTGTCAGTGCCATACTCATTTTCCGTTGTAACATCGATTATCGTGAATCTCGTGTCATTGATATTGTCAATTCTCCTTCTACGTTTATCATTCATACAAATTGGCGGTAAGGGTTTGGACTTTAAACTAAGGTTTCTGATATCATTCTGAAATAACTCCTTCTGATGCATTTGGCTTCTTAAAATATTTTCTAATCTAGTCAAGTCGTCACGGTACGTCGTTTCAATTCTCTGTATATCTTCCTAGAATTTGAATGAATGATGTATTTATTGGATTCGTTAAAGAGGAAGAAAAGTAATATTTATATCGTAAAGAACCTTTACCTCCGTTATAGGAGCGCGTCTTAAAATTTTTTGCAGCTTAATTTGTTCCTCTTCCAGAACCGTCAGGAAACACAACTTTTCTGTGTTATCTTGAATGAGATCCTTCAAAGTATCGACTTGTTCTGCATACTTTTTCTTGACACCTGTAGCAAACAAATAAAAATTAGAACTACCAACTATAATTTATATTTATTGATAAGGTAATTACATTTTATCTGATCGTCGTAAGACTTCATCATCGAATTCAAATTAACTTTGGTCTCATAGATCATTCTTTGAAGAACTGCTTCGTAGAGTGTGCTCAGCGACAGCTCTTGACCAAATTTTCGAATCATCTCCTCCTTTATGTTACTTTTAAGTTTCTTTATAACCTCCTCCATATGTTTGCAGTCAACTTTCATTCGATGGAGATGATGTCGATTTTTCCTGAAATGAGAAACACGTTACATTACTACAAAGTTACTTATTCTATTCAGCGTATGAGTACTGGACCGAAGTCTCCAAAACTTTGACACATGACTCGTGATCACTTGACAATTATCCTGACACTTGCAAAGTTTGGGTTTTCGAAATAAACCTTTTTTGATTTAGCCTAGACCAGAACGTAAATGGTGTCGAGCTTTCATATTTCGATCGATATGCAAGTTTTAAAGGCTCCGATATGAGAAACGAAGGTGTCAAGACAATTATACAACAATTTAAAACACTCTAGTAATCGAGAAACTCGTATTTGATCAGGATAAAGGCAAAAAAAAGTGTTTAATACGCTTCTGTGCTAAAACGAAGGTTCAATCACTGAGGAATTTTACTTATGCTTCGCTTTCTGCTCTTCAGTCTCTCGTTCTAATTCTCCAACTCTACTGTACAAATCATTTAGCTTCGTTTTATCAAACAGAACGCAATTATTTATATCTGCTAGTTTTTCCGAGTCAATAAAGTGTTGTAACTGGTGAAACTTTAGAATGACAGTCATGTCAATGTCATTCAGCTTCTGTTGCTTCTCTCTCTACACAAATAAAATAAATCGAATTAATGAAATATAGATAGTCATGACATAAAATATAAAAAAAGCGAAAGACTCGCTTACCATATAGGCTTCTAGATTTTCCCGATTGCTCCTCAAGTTCATCTCTATGATTCTCAATTTCTTCGCATGGCTTTCTGCCTCCTTACGCAGGCTCTCGTTAATCGTTTGATTTTCTTTTATGAGACGCTCAAATTCGTAACGCTCTTCCCTCATTGAAAACGCAGCATCGTATAACTCTTTTTCACAACCTACAGGACAAACATTCTCGTCAATTTGAAGAGGTCCGATATCTCGACTGTCAATGCTTCCTGCGTCAACATCCTCCGAGCTGGATTCACTCGTCGAGGACTCGGATGATTCCGACGTATCTGAAATTTTATATACTTAAATCAATAAAACGAAAACGAAACTTACATTTCGAGAATCACTTGACAAATGTACACGAACCATCGTCAGTTTTTGGTGCCTTGAATTTCTTTTTAAAGATCCTCTTTAAAAAATCGTGAAACTTGTTCTCGTTGATCATGCTCATGAACTGCGCCACCAGATCTTTGATTTTTTCCTGGGTCTTGAGGATTTCCCTGTTCTTACCTTCTATCATGCTATTGATTGCAAGTATCTGTTCAAAATTATAATACGCATAATTTAATCTAAGGTGATATGAAATATTCAGTCTATATATATCTGAAAGGTCACATAGTTGTTGCAAATATTCTTCGAATTGGATGTACCGATTCGTTTCAAATTTTACCACGTGAATGTCGGGGCCCTATGGTAGGTCTTGAAACTCATAAAATTTCATTTTTTATACAAAATTTATTTATTTATCACGGATTAGGACCAACTTGGCATGGCCCGTGCACGTTTTTGATGTTTTACGCTTCTTGAAGGCTTAAAATCGAAAATGAAGAGTCTCAGGACTTAGCTCGAACAAATTAGAATACCGAAGAAATGGAATAATACAGAGGCAGTTGGGAAAATATGTAAAATACTTTTACCAACGATTGCAAGAGAATGCTGTCTTGCCCGGAGCTAACGGGTGTTTTTAGAACAAAAATTTAGTTGTTGCTAAACGTCACAGCTGGCGACATTGATCCGTTACAATATAAACAGTCATGAATTCATGAGATTTCGAGTTTTACAGCGATCTCTTTATCATTACTTTCCCGAAATTACATATGGAACGCTTCAGTTCGTACAATTCTCAACGTAGAGTATAACAGACTTCAATATAAATATACATGTCGGTAACGCGACGCGCCAGTTTAAGTTACCACTTGAGTATTAAAAATAGCGTTCCCACCAAAAAGGGCATAGATGAATTTTAGTTTATTTACGTTGATTAAATTTCTCAGCGGGTTCCATATCACCTTAAATGCGGATGGTGGCTACTCGACAAGAAGTCTTGTCGAACGTTTTGATCCAGATCTTACACCCACCTTTTTCTTCACATCAGCTTGTTCTTTCAGTTTCTCGTTGACTTTATCCGTAAGCAAATTCTCCATGGTCTCGAAGTCCTTTAAAACTATGAATTCCTGATGCAAAGTTAACAAAAAGAGATCCATGTAAACGCTGTCCGCGACGATTTCTAACCGCTCTCGTTCGAGTTCGTCCAACTCCTCATCTAGGTCTTCGTAACTATTCTGAATGTGCTTTAATATACAATCCTGTTCATGGATTTTTCGCATGACTCTCGCGCGTTTCATCTCGCGTTCCCAGGAGGTTTCCATTCGATCATTTGAAGCAAGATTTTGCATAATTTCACTGGGTACCATAATCTGCACCTTGTATATTTTCTCAGGGACTGCAACTAGTGTCGATAATTCCTCCGCTTGGGTTGCCTCATGCTCTGCTCGAAGAACTTTTTCATCTAACAATAATATTTCATATTCCTCATCCAAATGTTGAACGGCATCTTCTATGACAATAGACTGTTTCTTTCGCTTCGCTTCTTTCACGCGCTCTGCCATGGAGGTGTATTTCTCCAGCTGGAAGAAATTCGTTTTATTTCAGTAACTATTATAAAGTTAATCTAATTTATGTGCTATATGTTTACCAAATTACCTCTAAATTCCTTTCAGGAAACTCGGTGTTATAATCAAACGTGGGAATGCTTGGCAAAGGTTTAACTTTCTTTTGTGGGATCTCGGAGTGTATAGTCTTTAATGTTGCCACCAAGCCCATCACTTCTTGCTGAAGACGTTGCTTCTTATTTCGTACGTTTCTAAGCTTGTTATTGAAGTCCTCGCGTAAATGGTGAGCCTGAAAATACATTTTGGCTGTGCATAACCTTGAAAATCATTCTATTTAAGGTGAAGTGAAACACGTCAAGAAATTTCATCGAGGGGGGTTTCACTTCACCTTAATTGTTACCATAAAACATTTGCATTTTCATACCTTCCTGCGGCAGTCTAAAAGTTGTTTGTACTTGGTTAGTGTGCTTTCGCGCTTTTCTGGTGGTGCACTGAAATTGGATGACAACTTTAATTTATAATCTCCGATGGTCCTTTTTGCCTCGGCAATTGCAAGAACGTCATCTGGATGATTAACGTGTGGATCTGGCTTACTGGCGTACATAGCTTTCCACTGAAATTGGAAATTTCACTCGTTTAGAAATTTAATAAATATACTAAGCGTAAAAGTAAGATTAATTCAACATGCAATTACCTCTCTATTTCGTTCTTCTAATCTAGCTTTTCGGGCTCTATACTTTCTTAATAATTGATTGATCTGAACACCTAGTCGATATTGAATAGTGGAAGGACTTAAACCTTTTAGGAAGCTCTCTATACCTTGAATTTTTAAATGTTCTCCGTCCTCTTCGATGTTCTCTATAGACTTCACGTCTGCCACCCTATAACGAAGCAATTTCATAAGTTCCTCAAATTAAAATTGTTTAATTTTGTAAAATTTTTAAACAAACTACCCATAAGTCTACACAAAATTGATTACATTTATAAATGAAACAGAAACTACAATAAAATATATGTATTCCATACTGTGTCAGTGTTTTATCATCACGTGATAAACTATACCGAGTCGCCCAAGCTGCAATTCCTCTTCTTGGGTATCGTTACAGTGTCACATTTTATTATAATTTAGCTTAAACTAAGAAATTATTAAGATGACGTGAAAGTGGCAACACAGAGGTCTCGTTTATAAAACTTTCCTCTGAACTGGGTATAACGAACCGTTTCAAACCTTACAACGTGTATGTGGAGATTATAATGAAGGTCTTGACCCCTGTAAAGTTTGAATTGTATAAAAATTTGTTTATAAGTATTTCAAAAATGTTGTATTAAAAATGACATTTCACAAGCATCGCGTTCTTCCTTAGGGCCTCCATAATCGTGTGCTAAAGTTTCAAATTATTTGATGCACTCAGTTTGGAGAAAAGTTTTATAAATATTTTCACGTTTTATGTATATAGATTGTCCCTTTCATATCGCCTTAATACGTAGAATAAAAATATATTTACTGGTCTGCCTTGTTTTTTTCTTCAATTCGTCGTATGATGTCTTTGTAGATTGTATGAAAATCATCGTCAAGTTTTCTTTCTCTCAATGACCAGACCACAGCATCCGGCCTCCTGAGAAGAATAATAATTGTTTTAAAGCCATTACCGGCAGTATTTACTTACAAGATACTCACAAAATCCTACGCACTGCGAAGGGTAGACAGGTAATGGGTTTAATGAAGTGGTCCAACAATTTCTGTAATCCAAGTTTGCTTTTCTCTACTCTGAAAGCCAACTTTCTATGAACAAAGTTCATCTCCGCAGCCAATTGTTGGTTCAGGTCTGCAGTAATCCTAGGATCCAGTTCAAACTCCTCTTGTGGAATCTGCTGAGATTTAAGTAGACCACGATTCCTAATACCAAGCATAAGCTTATACTATTTTTAATCTGTTTAGATTTCATCGATATAGTGTTACTAATTGTCCGAACCTCTCCACGAGTTTTCCGTATTCCTCAACTAAGCCTCGTAAAACGTCGAGTGTTTGATCTTTCTTTTGCTTAGCTGCAGCCATTATTCTATCATGCTCCACCCTTACGATAACTTCTTCTAAACTTGGATACTCCGAAGGATCCTCGATGTCTTCCACACTCGCAGTGGGCTGTTCAATATACACCGAATAAAAATCCTTGGCGAACTATATTTGAAGATTAACAATTTATTTAACATACCAGAGGTAATGGGGATTTTGCTTGAGGAATTGAATGAGAACCGGACAGTCTTGTATAGTTGATCTTGAATGAGAACAGATTACCATCATGTCCACATGTGAGTAACATCTTGTGATCGTGACTTAACTTCATCGTGGGTATATAACCATTGTAATTATCGTGCATCGGTAGTATCCAGTAGTCCGAGAAATCTGTATGATCATTTGGATTAACACGGCAAACCCGAATTTCTCCATGTTCCATGCCCAAGATAAGGTACTCTTCACTGCAACGAACAATCAGTCACTATACTATGTAACCATTTTTAATTCTTAAAACCACATTCTAATATTCTATCCGAACAGATGCTAAGGTGATATGAAAGGCGCTGAGAAATTTAGTCGATGTCGATGAAATAAAATTCATCTATACCTTTTTTGGTGGTAATGCCATTCTGAATACTTAAATGATAACGTAACCTGGCACGTCACGTTACCGACATTTATATTTACGTTGGTCTTTTACAGTCTACGTTCAGAATTATACGAATAGAAGCGTTCCATATATCCTTTCGGGACAAGGCAGCATTCTCTTGCAATCGTTTATAAAGTACTTTCCTTATTTTCCCATCTAACTCTGTAATATTCCATTTTTACGGTATTCTACATTTTTCGAGCTAGGTCCTGAGACTCTTCATTTTCGATTCTAAGCCTTCATAAAGCGTAAAACATCGAAAACAAGCACGAACCACGCCATCTTAGTTCAATCCATGATAAATAAATTAAGTTCTTATTAAAAAATGAAATTTCATGAGCTTCAGGGCCTACTTTAGGGCCCCTATATTGACGTGGTAAAATTTGATTCAATTCGGAAAATACTTTCACCAACGATTTGACTTCTCGGATACATATAGGCTAACTTTCATATCACCTAAAAGACACTTCTCTGTAACGTACTAAAACAAGCAGCTCCGAATTTCTGTGTCATCTGCCTCGAATACAACAGTGCTTTTAATAGGCTCCTCTTCGAACTTCCCAGGCAAAGGATCTGGATATTCGTATATATATCCAGAATCGAAACCACTCATCGACAACCAAACTGTTCCATCCACCATGTAATGCACCATTAAAACTTGATTAGGTACTTTGGGGATGTAAATCTCCGGCAGAGGTGGATCTTCTTCGGAATCCACTTTAAAATAAATTGCGATAATAAATATATGCAACAGTTTTAAAACTAGGCAACTAGACAATCCCCTTATATAGCACAAAAGTCAAGCTACAAGTAACTCAAAACTATAATTTCTATTAACTTAAGAACGCTTCCTCGTCAATTTCGATTCCAGGATTGTCAATGCGTAAACGTTCCATTTGGTCCCGCTTCCTAGTAATTTTTGCTTCTTTCTTAGCCTCGAGAGCCGATCGAATTTGTTCTCGTCTGATGAATGATTTCACAGATTTGAATTTGAAGAATCTTGGCTCGCAGCGAACCAATTCGTAAGTCACCGTAGTGTACTCTTGCGGTATATGGGGTAATTCCACTTCCATGCAATCACCCCTGGAGCAACCTATGAGAATAGTTGTTTCCTACAGCAATATCATATATTACAAAATGTTAGACCAAATACAAAAGCATGGAAAATATCTACTCACATGTTTAGGTTTCCATGTCATGCAGGTGACTCCCGATGGAACTTTTACGTAGCCAATCGGCTCAAGAATTGGGTATGTTTTAGTTCTTTTTATGTGAAAGGTGAATATAGTTTCATCGTCACTACCCGTCACCAACAAACTGTTAAAGAACTCCATAATAATAGTGATACACTCAATGACACACACATGTATCACAACAATGTATTAACATTTTGTACCTGTGCGATGCATTCAAACTCATGGCAGTGACAGTCGACAGATGAGGTTTTAACACTTGAATTAGCCTCACGTAATCACCTTTTACTTCGTTCGATATGTTAGCTTCTAACACAGCCGCTGTTATCACTCGTATGATCCCACTTGCAAAAGCACACACTATAATCGAGCCAGTTGCTTCGACCTTAAATACAAAAAATACCATCTTTAAGGTGAAGTGAAGTCTTGCAAGTCATGTAACAATGTTTCAAACAGTTTGATTCAATACCCTTAAAAAAGTGTCTTATTCTAATCGACAGATTTAAGGAGGTTTCATTTGACCTTAATTCTAATTCTAAGTAAATATATTTATATAAATATATTGTATGAGAGTATACAGCCTAAATTTGTCAATTTACCGTAGTAGGAAACCAGACTACTTTGTTGCCGACATCATGAAAGTAGTGCACCAGAATTAATTTCTTTTCAAAGTAATTATAAATATGTAGTCGTCCATCAGTTCCACAAGTTGCAACGAAAGGTCCCCAATCAGCAACATCCATATCGGTGATAGGGCCTGCGTGACATGTCAGAATCTTCTTCGGAGCCTCAGGAGTTTGTAAAGTGCAAAGATCTATTAACCACAATCCACCATTGGCATCCTGAAGAAGAAAAAAGGCAGTGATAAATTATATTGTCACTATTTTAAATACAAATTAGTAAAATTAAGTTAAAGTGAAACTCGCTCAAATCAGTAGATTCGAATAAGATACTTTTTTTTAAGAGTATTGGACGGAACTGTCCGAAACTGTGATACGTGACTCATGATCATTTAAGAATTGTCCTGACTAGAACCAAATGGCGTCGAGCTCTTTTATTTCGATCGAAATACAATTATTGATGGTTTTAACATGAGAAACGAAAGTGTCAGGACAATTGTACGACAATTTATTACCCTCTAGTAATCGATAAACTCGCTTTTGAACGGGATAAAGGCAAAAGAAGTGTCTGATGCGCTTCTGGGATAAAACGAAGGTAATACGAGATCTCGAAGAGAAAATTTAGTTGACACTAAAATCACAGACGGCGCAGGATGGCACTCTGCAGTCAATTAGGGCATCAAAAACCATGAATCCAGGAAATTTCTGGAGTTTTACTTCGATTTCTTTATAATTATTGTACGGACACGACATATGGAGTATGCCACTTAGTACAATACCCAATATAATTTGATACCGCTGTCGAACGTAGATATTTAGATGAAACTTTCTTACCGATGTCAATGAAATATTTCGACGTGTTTCACTTCACCTTAATTATTTATAACTTTCTTTGAGAAATAGGAAGTTATGTCCGTGCTTACTTGGGCATACCACAATGTTTCTTCAGGGTCTTCTGGTTTCTGCTTCTGGATACACATTAGCATCGAACTCTGACGGTCGTCGTCGTTTTCAGTATCCTCGGTGATATGAAATTCATAGACCGGCTCTACTTCAACGAAGCGATCGTCGTCAGGTGGATCAGCCTGATCTATGGTCTCGTAAAACCAAATGCGGATCCATCCATCCATTCCTAAGCAGAAAAAAATTAATCTGTAAAATTTTAAGGGGAAGCGAAACACGCCGAGGCCTCATATTACCATCGATTTAGCATAGCAGCGCATAAAACACTTTTTTTACCTTTATCCCGCTCAAATGCAAGTTTTTATCGATTACTATAGTGTTCTAAATTGTCGTACAATTGTCCTAACACGTTCGTTTCTCATATCAGAGCCTTCAATGATTGTATATTAATCGAAATATGAGAGTTAGACGCCATTTTGGTTCTTGTTCAATACATTTTGTTTCAAAAATCCAAAATTTTAAAGTGTCAATACAATTCTTAGATGATCACAAGTCATGTGTCAAAGTTTCGAACAGTTTTATGCAATACCCTTTTAAAAAAAGTGTCTTCTTCGAATCTACTGATTTGAGAGGGGTTTCACTTCATCTTAAAGACATCAATTGGCATGTCAACTTACCTACTGACATCAATTCCTCATTATTATATTCAAATTGACTGATGTACTTCATGTGGCAGGGTTTTCTATTTTTTTTACACACTTCTACTTTGATCAGTCCTTCGTCCCAGACTAAAATATTCCCCCATTCACAGCCTGAGACAACCTTAAAAAATAAAATGTTTACATTACGAATTTGCCTCAATACGTCGTAAACAAAAATTAGAAAATCATTAAAAATATCTGTACCTTCTCATCTGGCATAGGATAAACTCCAATGATGTCTGATATTTCAGTCTTGCCAAACCTGCCGAGTTCTCCTTGTAATTTCAGACCTGTAAATGTTCTTGCCATCTTCCAGAATTTAATATGACCCGTACCACTTGACGTGAGGTGACCAGAAACAGTTGGAGAAAACGTCACGTTAAAAATGTCTTGACCATAAGATTTGCAGCGCAACGTGATTTGAGATTTCTTCCAATTCCACACAGTAATTAAATAATCAGGGTCTCCTCCTTGGGAGACCATTAATAAACCGTCTGGCCTGCAAATTCACCCTATAAATAAATTGCCATGTCGCATGATTTCATTTTCCAGTATTTTACCTGTAAGCAAGATGAGAGTACGACCTAGTTGTCCCATTACGCAGAATTGTAACAATCTCCATGCTTGGCCATTCGTATATTATTATCGGTGGATTAACTCCATTCTCTCCAACAGCAATATGGTTAAGCATAGGATTTTTCTACAAGTAATGGTACAATGTAATAAATTTAAGCTTACAAAATATTTTCTGTTATTATTCTTAAGATTATTGTTGCTACTAACAACTATATGTCCTATACCACCTCCGGTTGAACACCGTCGAAACCATACCGTGCCTTCTATGACGTTAAAAAAATGAATCAAATTTCCAGAAGCAAAGATTAACGTGTTAGGGTCTGCGACGCAGAGATTGAAATACTTTCGGCAATCATAAGCATACGAGTGACTGAGTTGCATTAAGGAACATTGATGGAAACCTGGTTACCGATTCTACATTTCACTTTGTATTTTTTTTTTTTTTAATGTGTGAATAGAAATAAATATGAAGGATACTGAAACTCTAAGAAATCTATAGGCATCGTTCCATTCTCCACCTGTCGAGGACCCGATATGTATTTCTGAGAGTCATATAGAAAGAGTTCCAACTCTTCTTCTTCTTGTATATCTTCTTCTTCACTGCCGTACTTCTCTTCGGCCCATTCCTCAAACTCTTGCCTTCTACTTAATCCTACTCACCAAATGATCAATTTTGTTTAATCTCTTTGGTCAATGAAATCAATAAAATTTTTACCTGGTTTTGAATCCTCTGGGAGATTCTCTGACCTCCTGATATCATCATCTGTGTCATCGGACATAGTTTTGCAATGATTATTACTTTAATCGCTTCGAATAATGACAGTAACTGAACAACCTCTTTCCACAATTTTAGTTATTAGAATTCCCCGTTGCTATAGAAACCGACACAAAACTAGGTATAATTTGTATATTGCAATTAAACAGATGTTCAGTCATTCCGTTATATTACATATAGTATTGATATAAATAATTATTGCAAATCTTTTCCTTGAATCATTCTTCAATTCTAATAATATATCATTAAAATTAGTCAAAAAATTTCAACTTTTTAGGTTAACTTGTATCTGTCAATTTATTTCCCCTTTATCATGTATAGATCCTTTGTAACCCCTATTATACATAAATATACCTTTAATAATTTATTACAATATCCTATTAATAAAAATTACCTATAATTTTATATATCATTTGATACATTTTTTTTAACCAAATTAAAGATTTCTCCTTTGACTGCGTTAAATGTGTCCTCAGTGATATCGGTGAGAATTTCAGCAATTGTATTTTCATTCAAATTTCTGTAAGCTTCTTCAGCTGAAACAAATCATTTAAATGTTATAATTGGAGAGACCGGTTTTAAATATTATTAATTATTACCTACTTCCAGTCACTATGTGTCCGAACAATTCAGACACTGCTGGAACAAATGCAGTGGTATTTTTAACACCGCAGCTGGATTTTCTTGCCCAAATGTAAATGCGTACATCGTCGTAAATACTCTCATTGGGTTTTGTTTTTGCACGTGTAATATAAACGTTATGAGCAATTTCATGTTTCTGCAGGTAATCAACAATTAAGTACACCCAAAATGTTAATTGGTTTAAGCAGTCGATGCTATTCCCAGAAAATGAGGAAAGCTTCAAGCAAAATCCATTACTAGGGACATTGGTTAATAAAAATACTGGGTGTATTAGTTCAGAAATTTCCTGAAAGAAGAAAGCATATACTTGAATAAATTCAAACGTATACATGTAAACACTGTTGAACAATTTACCTACAATACATTCAAGTGGCATCTGATGTTTTAGGTAGTATAAATGCCAGTGCAAGTGGTTGACGGAAGCATGAGCGCATAAACTGTTAAAGATAATTCGAAGGTACCTAGAGCATTTTTTAATTAATTCACATAGAACACTTTAGGATAATTCCTTAACTATTTAAGTCCCAGGAGCCAATGGAAAAACAGCATTGAAAAATGCCAAACAGCGCAATTGTCTTAATTGAGTACGAAGAGAGCCAAGAAACACAATTGCGCTCGCCGTTCCAATAACTGTATAAGCACCGTCAGTTGTCTATACCATTTAAACGTAGTAGGTTTTTTCAACACGAAATCGAAACAGCGCAATCGTGTTGCTTAGGACTTAAACGGTTAAATATATATCATAATAAGGTAATTAATATTTACGGTGAATTGCTAAGAAGTAATAATTCTAATGCCTTGCATAGACTATTTTTGGTAACTTGCTGCGACAGGCATTGGAAACGTTGATGCAATAGCAAGCAATGTCCGGATTCAATAGGACTAACATTACCAGCAATTATATCATTTCCACTTCCATCTCCTATGTCAAAGAATATCTCTCGATTAGGCAATTTTGTGAAATTGAAGCGACTAGCATCGAACGGTTGCAACATGGACGAGATGTTCTCAGGTTTACGTCTGTTCCAAACTCTATCAAGATTTAACTGTCAATGAACAATATTTTAATTGCATTCAGTGATCCCTACATAGCCGTTTAAAATTACCTGCACTAAGTAATGGTGTTTTCCTTCAAGTATTTTCCATTCTGCGATCTTGAGGTTGTATCGAAAGACACCGTCGCTTTCGGCCTGTAACCATTTTTTCATCAACACTGTGTCAAACTCAGAATCTCTTTTATTACAATCATTAAGATGAAAATTAAAATTCTTTGATTCGTATCGAAATATCGGTATGGTGTTGTCAATATTCAGCATAATTATGCTTTACAATGCTTTAAACCGATTTTCCATAGGGCTTATAGAGATGGATGATACATTACAATAGTATGTGCACATGCTTCTGATACCCCCCCCAGTGCCGACCCAACTCAGGATCCTCCTCATCTCCGAGTTGGGCCACCTGGGGCCGTCACTGGAAGGTATCAAGTGGCAGGTGCACGAGCCGCCCGTATTTTTCACGGAGGGCACACAGACCGCGATCGCGCGACCCTGCCCGTGAGCAATCTCCCAACTCATCTCTGTAAATAACTACTTATAGGACCTGTTTCACAACTCGACTTAGTTTAACTAGTTCAGCACGATTTAAATCTGCTGTAAACAACTCGAGCATTCTGTAACCAAGTTAAACTCCGATTAACTGATTTACAGTAGATTTAAATGACGTGTAAACCAATTAAACTTTGGTTAACTGGAGTTGTAGAATCGGGCCTCAGTATATAATTCCGCCGTTCCTTCCCATTCCGAACAGAAAAAGTAGAAAAACAATGGCTGCTGAGCACAGTTGAGCAGATTGTTAATGATATAAAGTGTCTCCGAGAGGAGGCAGCTTTCGTACGCCCACACGTGCCCACACGCCTACCAGGCTGTGACAGTAACCTTTGCTCGGTGTCGGAAGAACGAGTGACACGATGAGCATATTGAGAAAAAAGTACGTTCATCAAATAAATCTGTTAGATAAGATTTGCGGAACTATTTGTTTATATTTGTTCAAAGTCCTCATAGCGACTCGTGTTTCAGGCTCAATGACTTTGAGGATATTCTTAACGCCGAGGAGATAGACTTGGTTAGTCTGAAGAAATTGTGCTTCCATGGTAAGTTGTTTTCTATTTTGAATACTACTGGTGTAGGTTAATTTTGCCTTTATATTGTTCGGTGAAAGTAACAGCTAATGAGACTTTGGTTCTATTTACTTTGATTGTCTTCAAATCTCTGGATATCTTTAATAGTACACGTCGTTTGAAATTTACATTTATCGCAGGTATACCTGACGAGGGTGGACTGAGACCACTATGTTGGAAATTACTCTTGAATTATTTGCCAACGACAAGAGCCAGCTGGTCCGAGACTCTCACTCGCAAGAGAGAGTTGTACCGAACTTTTATCGGTAAGCATTAGGAATATCTGGAAAGTAGAAAATATGCTAATAGATTTTTCTGCCATTTCAGAAGACCTGATAGTGATGCCTGGGGAGGCCAACAACGATGGCGAAAGAATTGACGTCACCTTTCATGATCATCCACTGAATCTAAATCCAGAGAGCAAGTGGCAGACCTATTTTAAAGACAATGAAGTTCTGCTTCAAATTGATAAGGATGTTAGGTAAATACCAAGCAAACCAGTAAATTGAAAAATATCCTAACCTATAAATTGCCTTATGTAGGAGACTTTGCCCAGATATATCATTTTTTCAACAAGGCACCGAGTATCCATGCCAAGCAATAGTAAATACCAATGGTGCAAAGCGTCTTCACCACAGAGTTCAGCAAACCATCCTTAGAAGTGCCAACGTGGAGAGAAAGGGTCTCGGAGTGACCAAGGTAATTGTCTGGTCGTTACACAGGTTTTCATGTCCACACGGCGGACGCGACATATATCCGTAAATATAGACATCTTTCATTGTTATTTACTGCCGATCCCGAGAATAGCAGGTACGATATTCAGTCGAGACTTGTAAAGTCACCTAATCAAACTGGCTCTTCGAGACATTCAAGGTGTATTCAATTCCCTATAGATTGCAGTCTCGGTTAGAAAGGCTGCAGAGGATTATGCACCCTTGGCAGAAGGTGGGGAAGCTCATTGGGAGGTTTTGGAGAGGATCCTCTTCATCTACGCCAAACTAAATCCTGGTCAAGGATACGTCCAAGGGATGAACGAGATCGTTGGACCCATCTATCATGCCTTTGCCTGTGACCCTGATTATCGGTGGCGAGGTAGGTGTTTTTACCAAAAGCAATGTCTGTGTTCTGGGGTTGATTTTGTATCAGATTACACGAATGAAGCTATGCAAGCCAGATTAACCTCAAATTACCTTAAATTTGTTAGAAATTTTAACTTTTGGTACTCGGATCTTTCTCTTTATATATCGTTCTTTTAACCTCAAATATTGTCACTAGATACAATTTTGATCAAGTAACCTCACATGAATTATCTAACATTTTTACCCTAGTGAAAGTTACAAAATTGAGAGAGTTCCCTTTTAGCATTTTCACTAGATTTAAGTTACAAAATCGATCCTTTGCTCAAGAAAATAATCCTTTCTTCGTCTTGCAGAGCAAGCCGAGGCAGACACCTTCTTCTGTTTCACGAACTTGATGGGAGAGATTCGCGACTTTTTCATAAAATCACTGGACGAGGCTGAGTTCGGCATAAACTCGATGATGATTAAGTTGAACGAGCAGGTTAAGTCCAACGACTACGAAGTGTGGTTACGTTTGCATCAGCAGGAACTATGCTCCCAGTACTACAGCTTCAGGTAAAGGAACTTTCAAGTTCTCTTTATTCAAGGGAGGTTTTCTTCGTCTTCGATCCCAGATTGAAGACTTTGACATTGCAGGTGGCTTACTCTGCTCCTATCGCAAGAGTTCCCTCTCCCCGATGTGATGCGCATCTGGGACTCCCTCTTTGCCGACGAGAACAGGTTCAGCTTCCTCATTCACATTTGTTGTGCCATGATCTTGTAGGTATCTGAAAAACCACCTTTAAGGTGATACGAAAGGATCATTCTATATATATACAAAACGAAAAAGTATTTATAAAACTTATCTTCAAGTTAGATCATTTGAATCTTTTGAATCATTTGAAACTTCAATGTCTAATTATGGAGATCCTAAGGAAGAACGTGGTGCTCATAAAATTTCATTAAATACGATAGCATGTAATCTTGATTCTGGTCTGGGATAAATAGACAACATTTTTATTAAAAATGAAATTTCACGGGCATTGCGTTCTTCCTTAGAGCCTCAATAATCACGTGTTGAAGTTCCAAATGGTGCACCCAGTTTGGAGACAAGTTTTATAAGTATTTGGACGTTTTATATATATAGAATGACCCTTTCCTATCACGTTAATATCGTACAATTGGATTTTACCTGAATTCTTTCGGATTTTAGATTACTCAGGGACCGGTTGTTAGCTGGGGATTTCGCGTCCAACGTGAAACTCCTGCAGGTACTGAGACCACTCTTGAAATTGATGACTTTTTTCTTCGCAGCTAGATAGTTCTATCGGTAGATATTTTTAATTAATTCCTTTCAGAACTTCCCACCGATGGACATTCAGATAGTTCTTTCGAAGGCTGCAGCCCTTGCGGGGAAGACTCTGAACTCTCCATAAGAGACACCGATCCTGGCTTTGTCCATTATCACAGGTGACGAACATTGCGGCTCGTAGGCGATGATACTCTCGTACGATTCATCTATTGATAAGATGTACCTTATGCAGACATGCGAGTTCTGCAGTTATGCAATTATGTGAGCGAGTATCACGGAACTCGATATCTCCATGGCATTGCGACTTTCCTCGCGATGGAATTCTCACTTCCGTTGTGGAATGCAACGATCTTTTGTAACCAATCGAATCAAAGCATAGATTCTCGGCTTGGATCCGAAATCCTCGTTCCAAATTCATGGGGACGAGACCGTTATTTCGTGAGAATGGGTCTTTTTAAGGTAATATGAAAGGGTTATTCTATATATATGAAATGATAAAATATTTATAAAACCTTTCTCCAAACTGGATGCACCGAATCATTTGAAACGTCAGCACGTGATTATGGAGGCCCTGAGGAAAAACATGGTGCTCGTGAAATATCATTTTTGATACAAAATTTTTATTTAGCCCAGACAAGAATCAAGAATGCATATATATAATAAAATTTCATGAGCACGTTCTTCCTTAAGGGAATGTGAAAGTGGCATCCGAAAGGTCAATCCTTCATGAAACTTTTCTAAGAACTGGGTGTACCAAATCGTTTGAAACTTTACAACGTAAATGTGGAAGCCCTAAGGTAGGTCCTGAAACTCATGAAATTTCATTTTTTATAAAAAATTTGGAAAACATCTATAAACAAATTGTTTTAAAAATTACATTTTATGGGTGTCAGGACCTTCTTTATAGCTTCCATATTCACATTGTCAAGTTTAAAACGATTCGGAAACTCAGTTCGGAGAAAGGTTTCATAATCGAGACCTCTTCACGCCACTTTCACGTCACCTTAAGACGTCCATAATCACGCGCTGAAGGTTCAAATTATTCGGTGCTTCGAATTTAAAGAAAAAGTTTATAAATATTTTGACGTTTTGGTGTACAATAGACTTCCGTATACCCTGTTAATACGTTACGCGCTATATGAATTCGCGTTATGGGAAATTCTGCTGTAGAGGCATTTTTCTCGTATAAAGTGCATAACGTGTTTTGTTATTCGGCGCGTCGAACGAAAATTTGCGCGTTATATGAAAATAGTAGGTGCAATATGTTTCAATATCAAGACGCGTTATACGAAAGTCCACTATATATATAATGATGCTTTCGTGACACCTTAAATGCGATCCGTGGCAACGACTGATTTACATCGGTCCACTAGGTTACCGTTAGAAATTAGGGAATCGCATTCGGCGTGGTCGACATTCCTGCGCTCGTCTTCGAATCGCATTTTATAGCCTTATTTTTCTAACGATCTGCGTGATTCGTTTTACGTTTATACAATAAACGATGTTACATTTGAGACTGTCCCGTCTGTTTACAAGGAAGGCTTCTTGGGAAGCGAGGGAGGAAAGGGTGTGCTCATCCCGTGGGAACGAACGAATATCCACAAAGGGGATGCTCGAGGTCGGACGAGCGTGATCGTTATCAAATTAATAATCCACCCAGCGAACGGAAAGAGACGAAACGCCGGATTTCGTTTGGGCTCGACTCGAATGCGATAAATTGGCTCGCTTTCGCTTGCGGAATACAAATTCGGTATACGTTTCGGATATACCTGTTCCATATGTACGATCGTTCGTTTGTACCCTTCATGGGGGAAAGGATGCGCCTTTGAGAAACGAATTTTTCCGTAACTGGAATTTTCTTTCTTTCCATTTTTTAAGATACGAAAGACGCTGAGAAATTTTATCGAGGTCGATAAATTAAAATTCATCTATACCCTTTTCGGTGGTAACGCCATTTTGAATACTCAAGTGGGAACATAAGCTGGCGCGTCCCATTTGAACGGGATGAAGGTAAAAAGGGTGTCTTATGCGTTGCTATGCCAATACAATGGGAATACGAGGTCTCGGGTACAAATTTAGTTGACACCGAAATCACAGATGTCGCAGGGGGTTCTTCCGCGGACAATCGGGGCCTCGGAAACCATGAATCCAGAGGATTTCTGGAGTTTTACTTTGATTTCTTTATAATTATTGTACGAAAACGACAGGTGGAGTATGCCATTTGGGACAATGCCCAATATAATTCGACCCAGCTATCAAAGTAAAAATGAGCGTTGACAACGGAGGAGTTTAAGAAAATCTCTTTTATCGACGTCGATCGAGTTCTTCGACGTGTTTCACTTCACCTTAACCGAGGTTGGTGGAACCGGGCATTAGAATATCAAGCGCTAACATAGGATCGGGACTTCTACGTAACTTTTGAATTCTTTGATCACGGGCATATTTATGGGGTCGCGGAATGCGCGTTTTCCGGCAAGACTCCTGGCCTTCAAGGGCCGGCATAAAATGGGCTCGGCGGGCATAAAACGGGCGCGGGGCCCGAAAAGCGGCGCGATCGCGTGGGCGGACTTTTACGGCGGTTGATTGCCTGATTTATAATGTCAGCGGGGCCCGGCTTGCGATTCCGCGGGCCCAACTCGCGGCCAGATAAGGGCGCTTGGGCCCAATCAGGCCCCGATTAAGGCCCGGGCAAAAACCGGGCGACGCCGAGTCTGCGAACACGCCCCCGTCGTTAAACGATTTCTTCCTCCCTCGGGAGCTAATCGGGGACCGAGGGGTTTACGATCGGACCCAGGAGGCGTCGCGGTCGTTAAACGCCGGGCCCGCAAAATGGCGGACAACTTTGAAACTCTTCCACGCTCGAGCGAAATCGAACTTTCCACCCCTTTCACTCCCCTTTCACTCCGTCATCCTGCGACTGCCGCGAGGCGCTTCGTAATGGGTTCGTTGTTTCGGTACCCTTCATCGGATTTCTTAAGACGATACGAAATTTAATCTAGATCCATATATTAAAATTCATCTGTGCCCTTTATGGTGAAGACGTCGTTTTGAATACTCGAGAGGTAACATAAGCTGGCGCGTCCCGTTCTCGACATTTATATTTACGTGAAAGTCTTTTACAGTCCACGTTTGGAACTATACGAACTGAAACGTTCCGTATGTCACTTTGGTAAAGTAATGACGAAGAAATCGACGGAAAACTGTCGAAATTCTGTGAATTCATTGTTCCAACGGCTGTTTAGGACTAACGTCGCCATCTGTGACGTTTAGCTGTAACTAAATTTTTGCTCAAAAAACACGCGGAAGCCCCGAGACAGGCCAGCATTTTTTTGCAATCGTTGGTGAAAGTGTTTTCCATGTTTTCCCATCTGACTCTGTGAAGTTCCATTTCTACGGTATTCTAAATCGTTCGAGTAAGGGTCCTGGAACGCTTCCTTTTCGATTCTAAGTCTCCAAGAAGCGTAAACCATCGAAAACGTGCCAGAACCCCGCCATATTGGTTTTAGTCCATGATAAGTGAATAAATTTTGGATGAAAAATGAAATTTCATGAGTTTCAGGACCTACTTTAGGGCCCCCGTATTCCCGGGGTAAAGTTTGAAACGAATCGATACCCTCGATTCGGAGAATATTTTACCTTATAACGATTTAACCTCGCAGGTATATACGGACTGAGTCTTTCGCACCACCTTAACCTTTATAACTAGAAATCCTTTAACCGGGCGCATTCGGTAACATTAACCGGAACTTTTTTTATTTCTACGCGGATTCGGCCGGCGCGAAAAGTCGGGACGAAGTTGACGGATGCGCCGGGATCGAGAGGAGGTGAGTCGTCGGATGGATCTCAGCGGTGGTCCCGGATTGATGGATGTCGACCCCGAAGGAGCGCCCGGGTACGCCTCCGAGGGCTCGGTGATGGATCCCCGATGCCGACCCAACGTGGACGTCCAGGGAACGCGGGAACCGGGATCGGGAAGTGCGATCTTTCGCGCTCGAGACACCTCCTCTCTCTCTCTCGCTAGCTAATTTCCCCTCCAGGAATATTCCTCCACGTCCCAAGAGATTAATCGATATCGATCCGTTTCTGGTATCCGCGGCTCGAGGAACGCGAACTCCGCTTCCTTACGGCCCTACGCTAAAAGTAAATCCGGTTAAGGTGAAGTGAAACACGTCGAGGAACTCGATCGACGTCGGTAAAGTGAAACAGATTTTTCTAAGTACCTCCGTTGCCGACGTTGGTTTTCCTATCGACAACTGTCGAATTAGATTGGCTATTGTACCAAATGCCATACTCTACCTGTCGTTTTCGAACAATAATTATAAAGAAATCGAAGTAAAACTCCAGAAATCCTTTGGATTCGTGGTTTCCGCGGTCCTAATTGATTGCAGAGAGACCCTCTGCGCCATCTGTGATTTCCCTGGCAACTACATTTTCACTCCGAGACCTCGTATGCTCATCGTTTTAGCAAAGCAGCGAATAAGATACCGTTTGCCTTTAACCCGTTCAAATGCGAGTTTATCGGTAACCAGAGTGTTCTAAATTGTCGTACAGTTGTCCCGACGCGTTCGTTTCCCATATTAATTACTCCGGACAGGCAGCAAAAAAAAGATATTTGTTTCGAAAATTGAAATTTGTACGAGTTTCAAAACCTACATTAGGACCTTTTTAAGGTGTATCAACCTTGTGCACCCGGTTGGGTGAAAAGTTTTATAAATGTTTTGACGTTTTGATGTACATATGGTATTGATTGGAAGAATGGCTCTTGTAATAATGTAAAATATCCGACAATGAATATTATCGTACGATAAAAATCGGTCCATGAAAACGAAACCAATGAAAATCGCTGATCAGCTGTATTCGATCGCGGAGATCGATGTTCGACCCTCGTGGCGAGCTGCGAAGACTTAGGGGGAATCTTTATGGCGAAGCTTATGGGGACCCGATTTTTATTATTCGCGCCAGACGTAGACGAGTACATGTACATGTACAGGTACACGTTGCTGCAGGCGCTGCACTCGCTGCAAGACGCGAGCAAGTCTTGCCGAGATGGATCGCTTGCATCTCGGTGCAAGAAAGCATCCTCTATGAGATGCATGAATGCATGGTTGCATGGGTGCATCCTCTAGGTGCAAGGATGCATCCCTCCTCGACGAGATCATGCGCTTGCCGAGCGAAAAGGGATTCTTGCAACGAGTGCATGTCCGATGCACCGGTGCAATCTCCTCGATGTACAGGGTGTTTTGAAACATAAACGACGTGAATAATAAATCGACGAAGGAAATTATTGAATCGTTCGTAAAAGCTTAAGGTGATGTGAAAGAATTACTCTGTATGTATGCAACGTTAAAATATTTATAAAACTTTTCTACAAACTGATGCACCGAATAATTTGAATCTTCGGCGCGGGATTATGGAGGCCCTAAGGAAGAACGCGGTGATGGTGGAATTTAATTTCTAATAACATTCATTTTATTTACTCCTGACTAGAACCAAGAATACATATTTTTTCTTTTGAAAAATGAAATTTCACGAGCACCGCGTTCTTACTTAAGGCCTTCGCGATCCCGTGACGAAGTTTCAAATGAGTCGATGCCCCCAGTTAGGAGAAAACTTTTTGTACAAACTCTGACGATTTTATGTTTATTTTATGAATACTTTTAACTTTTAATACGGTACAAATAGAAATAAAATGCGGCGGCATTTAAAATCCGTT